AGCGGTGAAGATTTTGAGTCCGATGATACGGTAAAAGAATGGACTAAACTACGGTAAAAGAAGTCAGTGGAGATGCCGCAAAACAGTTCTGATTCCGAAGAAGACGACAATCAGTCGATATTATACTTTATGCCACGTACCAATTTCCATGATAAAAAAAAATCAGTAAATAAATCAGATTCGTCAGATCGGATTTAGCAGAAGATGAAGAATTATAATTGAAAACGGTTTAGTAGAGCAGAAATCACATTTTAAAATAAAAAGAGGTTCCTTAAGAATAAAAAAACAATGCCTTGTTTTTCCTTATAATTGTTTGTGCTAAGCATGAATAAAGTTTTGATATTCTTTAAACTAAAGCACATTTTTTTACACTTAGCAACTTTTCAAACTTACATAACAAAAATAAACCTATGCTAATGCTAACCAAAAAAGCGGTTCCGTGAGATTGATGTACATTTAACTACCTTTTAGTTTAGTTGCACTTCTATTCAATTTGATTATTTGCTGATAAACTATACTATAAGGCAGTCACTAAACAGCAATAAAGTGTAGTCCAAATGTATGAATTCAAACAAAGTGTCAAAAATCAAAATAAAGTTAAAGTAGGTTAGCCGCATTTTTGCGTATGATTATTGTCAATGCTATACTAAAAAGCAGTTAAGGTATGCTTAACGGCCTTTTATATTGCAATTAATATTCAAATATAATATTTTAATAATTACGTTAACTACATTTTTAGAGTTTACAGAATAGTATGCCAATAATTTCATTCAAAAATATTTATGAAAGATTCGTAACTTTTTTTACATGGATTCCAATAGTTGAAATATTTTTTTTCGGTGATATCTATCAAGAAAACCAAATTCGCACTTTTTTTAATTTTTCCCCAAACATACTTTTGAGGCTTAGCCGCCTTCTTCCGTATCAGGGCAGTATAGTATTTTTTTATAAAGTAAGGGTGACCAACGAGCACACAGTCCACCCACCTGGTGGTAAGTGGTTGCTATGCTTCATAAAAGATAGCTTGATCTCTGCGACAGCTGTCAGTAAAATCACGCCTATGAAGTCCTGAATTTCTTAGTATGACATTGACAGGTACTGTCTGTACTACTATACAGACAGTACCTGTCATATACACATCACAGATATCACAGAACTATACATTACATAGATATCTACATTTATCCTCGATTACGATCAAAATGCAAATGCGTTGTCACCCATGAGGACTAAAATGGAATGCCTCCTTTCCAGTAAAAAGGGTCTCCGGTTCTCTACTCACCATACGAAACACAGAAGCGTTAAGCTGCTATTTTACGCCGATATTCTGTGAGAGCATGGTCCTTCCCCGGTCGAGCCGACCCTTTCGTGCTACAACGATACTACTAATATAACTGAAGCATGGCTCTACTGCGTATGACTAAATTTTATTAGAATTTTTCATTTATGTCTATTCTACGAGATAGAAGTGTCCTATGTCGTGGAATAGCACATAAAATAATTATATATAATATTATTACTAAAGTTTTATTTACACCTAGAAAAGTAAGTAAGAAACTAGTGTTATATTTAGAAACAAAACAATATTTCAAAAGGCATTGCTTGAATTTTGTTGTTTCTGTGTATATTTTTTTTTATAGAATTGGATGACAAACGAGTGCACGGTCCACCTGATGGTAAGTGGTTCCTGTGGCCCATATACATCTACATCTATCCTCAAATACGAATGAAAAGACAGATGCGTTGTCATTTGTGAGGACTAAGATGGAATGCCTCGTTTCCAGCAAAAAGGGTCTACCGTCTTCTCTACACTCACCATACGAAACACAGCAGCGTTAAGCTGCTATTTTACGCTGGTATTCTTCGGGGGCCCCGTGCGGTTAGGCTCAAAGAAAAACGTCTAAAAGGCGACATGACAGGCCGCGAGCCCTGAGACAAGATGAAGCTGTAAGAGTCGCATAGACTAACAGCACTAACATCAAGATAATAGAGGTATTCTGTGAGAGCGTGGTCCTTCCTCAGTCGAGTCGACCCATTGAACCTGAATATATAAAGCTCTCTTTACATATTCAGTAAAGTAGGATCCTCCTTTACTGTATATTTTACTAGCTTTTCTACCAAAAGAGGCAAATCTCAAAGTTTTAAGACCTTTATAAAACACAACTTTTTTTAATTAATTTTCATCATGACAATAGTTTTGGTTTCCATTCATTATAATCTGAGCATCTGCAAGGCGAGTACGAATAGGCTTTTGTTACACTAAGATGGTGCAATTTGCCAACATCTAGTAGATGGCATAGATAAATAAATATGTAGCAAGCTAGTAGACGGTGGTAAATTGCACCATCTAGGGATACATCACCATTTACCACCAGGTCGGATTGTTATCAAGCACTGGCTTATAACATATACAAAAAAATCCTGGCTACGGAGTAAACAACATTTATAGATAATACTAGCGATCTGTTCCGGCTTCGCACGGATGATTTCTGGATCTCGACAACAGCGCCAACGGATTACGGAATCCAAATGTGAATCTAAACCATCTAGATACTATAGTATGTGCCCAATCGATTGAGAAAAACGGACAATGACCTTTCGGTTGTTTAACCAGGGGTTACAAAACTTCAATATATAGTAGTGATGCAACGGAAGTTTTATATCGGAAGCAGAAACGGAAACAGATGTTAAAAATATTTTTTTGCAGAAACGGAAACAGAAACAGTTGCGGAAACGGAAATAATACTTATAAAAAATTACAAATAAAACTTTTAATTAACATTCAAAATTATGTAGCGGTAAGTTATATTTTATGAACAGTAGTTCAGCCGCTTTTACACCTAACAATCTGTTCTAGTGTCTTCATACAAAGTCCAGCTCCGATAAATAATTGCTCACTGGAAATGCTGCGTACCACCTATACACCAAAGCTAAATAGGCGCTGAAATTTGGGCAAACGTTTTTAAGAGCCACATTTAGGATTAGCGAGTAGGTAATTTAGTACAGCCCTAGCACGAAAGTACGACGTAAATAAACTTTGAATCCGAAATACTCATTAAAGTTTCTTTAAAAATAATTAATATAAACTTCCAGAAAAAATAATAATATAAACTTCACGCAAACATAACTGCTACCTAATTAATTTGCAAATCTAAGTTGTAAAAAAAGGCATTTATTAAAAACTATTTTTAACTGGAGAAAAAACGTTTTGACTAAAATCTGGTTTTAACTATAACATAGGATTGAATACATTTTATAAATAAATAGGTATGCAATTCCTTGACTGACCATTTGTTTTTTAGTTTGCGATGAAAGTTTTACAGTTTCGAATGACTTCTCAAACTCTGCAAACTCTTCGGCGTTTAAGATGGTTCTTTAAAGCGTTAGTTGTGCAGCCTTTTCGCGAGTATATTTTGTCACATAATTTACATTTGGTTACTAAATCATTAATCTCAAAATAATAGTGCCAAACAGTACTTGTTTTTGACTTCATGATTGCACTTAACACACACGACTTAAATTTCTAATTATCTAAAAATACAATAAATCTATTTATGTGGATGCGTCGCTGAGTTCCGTTCAAAATTCCGTTAAAAAAACTTGCGGAAATAGAAGTAGACACGGATGTTAAAAACCATGCAGAACTTCGCAGTTGCGGAAACAGAAACGGAGTTCTGTTGCATCACTAATATATAGGCACATTTTATATGTAGTACTTTATTTATAATGATTTTTTATAATGATTGATATAATATATATTTATTAACTATTATTAAAAAGTTATGTAAAAGATCACTGTAGAAGAAAAATCACCTATATTATTATTATAAAGTACTTTATTCATTTAACAACAAAAAGCATTAATTTATAACACACATAAAGATTCGAGTGATAACGACACCGAATAAGTACGTACTTATTCAAAAGATAAAACTTTATTTTCAATATTATATAAGAACTTTATTTTTATTCGGCATGCGGACCGGCCCAAAAAAGGTGACGCATCTCTCGCTGCCATTGTCACGTTTCTTTTAGAACGAACTGACGTAACGCGCAACGCGCGTTTTGTTTATTTTAAAGGGATGAATTTGCAAAAGCTCAATATGGTGATTATATTGCTTCAAATATTTTTTTAATATGAAACTGTTATTAAATGAATTGCTGTGTTACTTACCATAAATTGAATTAAAGTGTAACACATTTTCCGCGATGTACCGTAAGATTTTACGATGTTTATAGGAACCACAGATAATATTATTTAAGAAACAAACAAAAAATATATGTTCTGTAAATATTGTTATCACATCCAAATTGAGATTTTGTAAGTTACGCCTTTTGACACTCGGCTCATATTTGAGGTCATGAGCCGAGTGTCAAAACTCATAGTTTGTATGAGTTTTGACACTCGGCACACACACACAAAATATTTCAACTTTTTAAGTTTTAGCGAGACTAACGGATAGCAGTTGATTTTTATATACAGAGGTTATTTGAATTGTGGTGGCGGCGTAACAGAATCCGTCACTCCAATTCGTTTTGTTGGTTTCGAGAGAGGGAAATAACAGAAAGATCTTATGATTTCTGATTGATGTCAGATGTAAAATAAGCAAACCGCAGACAGGCAGCGATAGAGGTGTTCAACTCTACTATCTTCTAATATACGCCTGACAAGCGTGACTATTAATGCAAATTCCTACAAAACGAAAGACCCCTGTCCAGCGGACGTTTATGGGCTGTTGAAGAAAATAATGTATTATATTTCTTTGTTTACCTTTTTTAGTTTATTAGTTATTTGGTTATAAATATGTTCAATAGGTGATAGAGCTCTTTTTCTGCCTTAAAGCTTAATTGAAATAGTAGATTTTGTTTACCAAGCAATAGTGCTGTCTCCAGAAAGGGATAAACTTCTACAACATTCCTATAGAGTACAACACTCCAGGCATATCAAACTGCTGTGGCCAGATTTAATTTTTCACTATGCCATAAAGAAAATAACTTACATCGCAAGAGTGGTTGATGAATCGAGCAGCATTGCCCTTCAGGGTTGCGTCAACAACGAGGTTGTCGTCGATGCGGAACATATAACATCCGCCAACTCCGCGCCGTCCGCTCATAGCCTCGTAACGCTTTTCACGTTGATCCGCTAATACCGCACGGATCACCTCACCGGCGTATTCTATCACCATGTCTCCTAAGAAAATATTATGCATAAATAAAGATTTTTTTAAAAGAATATTAACAATGCTATAAACGTTACTAATATTCCCCTTAACCACTCGTAGTAAGCTTAAATTGCTTGTGTTACGAGTGGTTCACGCCAGTAGTCGAATGGCGGATTCGAACCCACGACCTTTTTGGGTTCGCGGTCCGCGCCCTGCCATAAGGCTACTGTCGCTTCTTATTTTAGGTTATTTTAGATTACTGTCGCTAATTATTTTATAGAAGTAAAGTTATACACACACACACAGTTTAAATAATTATTTTGTAGAAGAAAAACATCGTGAGGAAACCTGTATGAGAGCACATTATCAGAAGAATATCAGAGCGCCATTACAACTTCCCTGAGACCAATACATATTTTTTATCCTATACCTTTAAACGAGCAATTCTTATATATATATAATCGGAATCTCGGAAATGGCTCCAACGATTTTCATAAAATTTAGTATCCAGGAGGTTTCGGGGGCAATAAATCGGTCTAGCTAGGATTCATTTTTAGAAAATGTCTTTTAGTCCGTGTTTTCAGGCAATGAAAAACTGCTACAATATAAGAAGGTAAATTTTGCTAGCGTATTAACGATCGTAATAGCTCAAATGAGATATCGGGCGGTCGCGAAAACGGAGTGCCCTGGTTCGCGTCCTGTTTCTGGTTCGACTTTTTTCCTTTTTTTTCAAGTACCCTTCTTTTGTGAGAAAATATACTATTTCGAGCCCTTTTTTAGTATTTTATTAAAAATACGAAAATTTAAATTAAACTAATTGCATTCATGATTTTTTATTCAAATGACCAGTTCAATTTTTTCTATTATGTCAATAAGATTAAAAAATATTATTCATGTTTCATCAGTATGTAATTTGTATCTAAATATAATTTCCAAAAAAAATACCGAGGAAAGCTCGGTCATTTAGGTACTAAGTAGTAATAGGCTAAAAATGAAATTATTGACATTAAGACAATAACAATGTATTCACACTTAAAACCCTGATAATGTTTTTGCGCGCGAATAGTAAGCATCATAGTGTTTGTATGTGAATCTTTACCTTCTTCAATGTCTCGTTTACAGAATAGGCCACGTCCGTGGATGTGCGACCGATATACGCCGACAGAGGCCTTCGATGTCTCTTTAAGTTGTCTGAATCTCATCGCTGGTGGCAAGGTCGCTAATCGCCTGAAAAATCGTGTAACTTGTTTAATTTTACAAATCGACGATTTAAATAATTATTATTTATCGACAGTAATGAAAGAAAGACAGAATAATGTTGTCCAACTACAATTTCAGCTTACGAATCTCAAACAATATTTTATTTGCGATTACAGGTCATTATTTTAAAAAATAATCATGTATACTATATACATGATACATGTATACATAGGAAAAGTGTTGGCAATTATTTTGTCATTTTGTGCTCCAATTATATCTGTACTCATTATAACCTGTTTCAATTAATTTGTGAAGAATAGAGATACCAGCAATTATGTTAGTGAGCTGTGTTGCTATTGAAATTCTTATTTTATTTTTTTATTTTATTTCAAACAAAATCCACAGCTCTTTGTTACAAATACAAATTCAACAAAACACAAATTCATTCTGATTCATCCGATAGTGATACTGATGACGATGATTTAGTGCTCGGCTGTTTAAAAATTGTTTTAATATGGCGGGATATCAGACAAAATATGGCGGCGGTACTTCTGTACAATATGGCGTCAATTAATGACGTCTTTGCTTTCACCAGTATACTGGGTTCTATTTCGGAACATAGACTATATATATGTTACGGTTAATCTTCATATAAAACATGGATATAAAATAAACTCAAGATTAGCCATTTACTTAGGTTTAGTTTTGTGTGTAAGATTATCTTTGATATAAATAATGTTATCTTTATTTGCAATAAACTTTTTCATATTTAGGCAAATAATTTACATATTATGATATATATGTTTGCAGCTTTAAACTACTCACACCTTAACCTCGAGTTATTGACAATTGGCTACACCTAGTTTTAGTCGTAAATAAATCCAATACACCTAAGTTAAACCAAATAGTGTGTAGTATAGTAGGTATTTTTTATTAAATACGATAAACAATTATTCAAATCATGTAACTTCTATTTTTCTTTAATTTTCATTCCACATTTTTAGCCGGTTAAAGTTAGCTCTAGCTGGCTTATCTTAAATTTATTATCTACATTAATACTTAACACCTATAAAGTAATTATTAACCTCGATATAAGGCTCTCCCCCTCCTGTCCACCGAACGGCGGTGGTTCTTCTCTGAATGGTGAGGCCATCCAGCTAAACATGTCGTGGTTCTGCTTCCGCGATACGGGTCCAGTTCGTGCACTACCCCATGGGCTCTCTTTAAAGCCCTCGCTCAAATCCAAATCATTATCCCAACTGCTCAGTGCACGACCTTGGCGAATTTTGTATTTAGTACACCTGCTAGCCTGAAAATGAGTTGAAAACATTAGTAAGACATATCACTCAAATCTTCGTTGCTTTCGATAGATGGCAAAATAAATCTAAAAACATAAAGATTTTCTGTCATAAGTTTTATAAAATATATTTCAGAAAAAAAATCTCTCTCAGCCATGTCCCTGTTCTAGTTCTAGCTTCTAAACATTTCAGTTGTTTATTATTTGGTTTTTGATTATGATATTGGGCATGGCTAAAATAAACCATTATCACTACAGAACAGCATTTCAAAGTTGTGTACTATTCAGTGCTTTGAATTACTACTAAGTGGTCAGATCAAAACTCAAAAACAAACTTTTTTCGAGTCGATGGCGATAATATGCATTAATTTTTTCGGTTTTTTTTAAATAAATAAAGCATACAACTCTCTCAGAGTGCCGTGGTAGCTCATTTGTTTAACGCTCGCTGTAAATATAACAGAACGCGAGTAACCCGGGTTCGATCCCCGCCGGCACCAATGAAATTGTTAATTGCAATTTTAAGTGCTGATTTACCACGTGCTCGGCGGTGAAGGAAAACATCGTGAGGGAACCTGCAGTTCTGAGGAATAAGAAAAAAAAATATTTCGAAGACATGTGAAGTTCGTCAACACGCATTTGGGCAGCGCGGCGGACACTTCCTTGCCCTAAACCCTCTCAGAAATGAGGGGAGGCCTGAGCCCAGCAGTGGGACGTATATAGGCTGTAACTTTACTTTACTTTTTTTTTACAACTCTATCAACGAATATTTTGAAGATAAAATGAATGGTTTTTTATTACCTACAATAATTAATGGCCGATTTATTTATTATATTTTTATCTTTATGTTATTAAGAATTATGTAATTGATAATTAAGATAATAATTAATGTAATTTCTAAACATACCAATGATAATTGAAATTGTTATTTTATTAAAAATGAAAATTAATTTTTCAATTTTTAATAAATAATATAGCCAATATAGCCAGGTAATAATGATATCATACCTTCTTCACCAAGTTTGTAACTTTTTACCTATATCTTACAAATAAATTATTTGATTTGATTTTCATTTAGTCGTCAGTTCAGGTTCTACTTTTTGCCAGAATATGTCATCTATCGGAAGTTATGAAATCTGGAATTTTCTATAATCACCTCTTACGACAAGTATGGGACGAAATGTGATGGATTCTCTGGAGAATTCAATTAACATACGAGGCACGCAGATTTTCGATCGCAGTATCAGTACCACCTTTGACGCGGCTCGCTATCTATGGATTCGATGTTTTACGTCTGGCTTAAATTAAATGGTGACCCATCAGACACCATGGCATTTCCCATACTCGCCTCCTACATCGCCCACGAGACTAAAACGTACCATAGATGATAGAAAAATACTACAAAACAAAAATTACTTACCCCTGGTAACTGCTCGATCAAATATCTTAGAGCATTATTGTTTAGCCCAAGAAGGTGAGCTCCAGATAGTGTAGATGGAAGATTGTATTGTATTAGAGGTAAACCAGACTGTTTCCTTGCATTTTGTACAGTTTCGATAACTTTTGCCCAGAGATCGGACAGAGATGATGATGAGTAATTGAATCCATCTTCCGATGTCACTTCGTAAATTAGTTTAGGCCCGTCGTCTTTGGGTGGATCAGGCGCTTGCTTGGGTTGAGCCGTCTTATTCTCCTGACCCTTTGATAGTTTACTCTGTTTTTTAGTCACGATTATTTCATTTTCAGTTTTCTTGTCACCAAAAGGTCTCTTGATTACTTTCGCTGCAGCATTAGGCATTTTAGTTTGTACAGTTTTATTTGTATCCTTTACAGACAATACTTGCGGTGGCTCCACATCCATATCTGCGTCCAAACTAGGCAATGAAGTAATTTTAGAAATTGTTTCTATAGGTTCATGACTTCTTGTTTCTGTCTCTGTTGATGCTGAACTAGTATTAGCTTGATGTAATTCCTCAGATAATTGTATAGCTCGGGCAGCATCTCGTTCTTCTTTTTCCCTCTTTGCTCTCTCTAATTCAAGCATTCGTTTGGATTCTTCAATTGCCTTTTCTAGATCACTGTCAATAGTCTCTTCCTTAATGTTTAAGTCCGGCATATCATGGCTCACTGGTGCAGGTCTTTGCTTGGGAACAGGTGATGTTTTACTAACACTAGTTTTAGTTGATTTACTTTGGCCATCTCTGTGTAATGGCAAGACTCTGTTCATTGGTCTCATAGACATAGGATTAACAACATTTGTCGGTATGCCCGATTGTTGAGTAGGCGGAGCTTTAGGTAAAGTTATGCTGCTACTGTTTTGTGTTGGCAGATTAATTGTACTATTTTGTTGTACGGGTATACATATCATGTTATTAGCATTGCTCTGATTTTGTAACAAGTTGGTATTTGTCTGAAGTGGGAAACTAATATCTGCTGCAGCTTTAGAAGCAATTTTTGGATCTACTAGATTGTTTTGAACAGTTATATTTACAGTATTGTTGCTAGAGTTTACGTTAATATTCATAGGAGCGCTATTTGGTATCGCTTGGAAAGGAACATTAATCATTGTGCTGTTGTTTTCAGTTTTTTGTTGGTAAGTTAAAGGCTCTGCAGCTATGCCCCCTACATTATTGTTACTGTTATTTGTCACAACACGTATATTGTGCTGTTGCGGAACATGCTGATTAATATTGTTCTCCATATTTGTATTATTCATTCTGTTTCTTTCTGGAAGATTAATTACTCTGTTGTTTTGTGAATTCATCTGCATGTATCCTAATTGGTTACTCACAGATATTGTGTGGTTCTGTTTATCATTAGGTGCTATATTAACTTTGGAACAGTCATTATTCGATAAATTATTAAGGGACATATTAGAGTTGGATGGGGGTCCCATGATATTTTTACCTCGGATCGGTTCTTGTGAAAATTTAGGCGTTTCACTCACGTTTATGTTAGACCTATTTATTTGATTGTCCATATTATTGATGTTTTGGGAAGTATTATTTGCGTTCAAGGTACAGCTATTAATATTAATTTGAGCATTATTGGGAACTTGGCTACTTACTATTTGATTAGAATTCGTATGAGTTTGCGAATTGTTCATCATCATATGATTTGTGTTTCCTGACATAAGGTTGTTAACATTGTGGTCATTAGAATTATTACAACTCATCAGCATTTCGTGCCCTGCCATGTTATTTTGGCCATTTGAGCCGTACATACCATTATTATTTGCAGAGCTCATCATCATATTATTTGATATATTGGAATTGTTCACGTTCATGCCGTGAATCATGTTTCCCGTGCCCATGTTTAGATTCGTATTTGGATTCATGTTAGAGCACATTTCAAATGTGGATTGATTGTTGGAAAACTGTGTATTGTTATTTGAACAGCTGCCACTACACGAGTTTTGCATTTCATTTTTAATATCCGGAATATTAGGCCCATGCATTAATGAACTGGTCATAGATTGATGATTGGCATTAGTGATTTGCATTGAATTATTAAGATTATTATGCATGTTCATGTTATTCATTGAATTCATATTATTAATATGATGTTGCATGAGACTTGTATGTTCCATTGAGTTTCGGTTGTTTTGCATTTGATTCATTGCATTGACATTTTGCATATTCATTGCACTGTTTTCATGCCTGTTAGCATGCATACCCTGCATGCTGCCAGAGTTATCCATTTGATTGCCTAAATTCATTCCAGACGTGTTTGCGGACATGTGGTGCATGTTCATACTATTGTCCATTTGTTGCCTATTATGCATTTGATTCGGTACATGTTGGTGCATACTCATCATATTTCCTTCAGTATGTTGTCGGTTGTTTTGTATTTGCATCACATTAGACATTTGATGTTGGTGGTGATGATTGATATTATCTATTTGTCTGTTTTGTTGCATATTCATATTTTGTTGATTTATATGTATACTGTTGTCCATCTGCTGTCTGCTAGAATTGTTAATATGATGACTCATTTGTTGCATTGAATGCATCTGTTGATTATGCATGGAATCCATTGACCTATTTGAATGCATTTGGTGACTCATATTATTGATTGCATGTGACTGCATATTATCAATCATCATTCTATTGTTTTGAATGTTATTCATATTAGATAAAGATTGATTCATGTGCATGTGAGTTAAGTCATTCAAATCAGATCTATTTATGTTGTGGTTATTAGACAAACTATGCATATTCATAGATTGATTCATAAGGTTGGTGCTATCAGGAGTGCTTCGATTTGAAATTATATTTCCTTGATTGTGAGTTTGCTGTGTTCCAATAATATTATCGTGAAACGATCGATTTGAGACTTGATTCATAGCCTGAATTTGATTATTTTCCAATTGACGGCCGTGTTGGATTTGACCATTCATTATATGAATTTGGTTAGAAGATGGATGTTGGTTGTTATCAGACATCTGAGGCATATTTCCGTGATTCATGTTGGAATTGTGTAGCATCGAATTGGACATATCGTGTTGTTGATTACTCTGATGCATACTATTGTCACTTAAATTTATGTTCATTCTATTGTTAGAAGCTTCTTGGCAAGACATGTTAATATTTGGCATAGAATTATTGGACGAATTTAGAATTTGAACGTGTCCATTATTTGATATAGAACACATTTGATTTGCGTTGTTAGTCATCGACATAGTGTTTTGGTTATTTTGCATTTGAGGTCGTATGGCATGTGGTATTATACTAATGGATGGTGAATTGCCCATATTTCCAGCTACTTGACAACTACTCAGTTTGTGTAAATTCATTTGGTTATTTATACTATCAGAATTATGCTTATTATCATTACTTCCAATATTCTGGAAATTCTTCTCATTCTGTGCATGTTGTTGCGAATGTGATGCCATTATTTCTTGTGAAAAATTCAAATGTCCGCCTTCTGCTTTAGAAAGGGCATTAATCTTGCTTAGTTTTAGCGCAGTATCGGCATCAAAATTACCATTCATTACTGATGAAGGCGGGTAAATATTTCCGGCAGTAATTTGTATGACATTATTTGATGTTGAATGAGTTGAAGAATGGTGACTAACATTTAAGTTTGATTCAAATTGATGGGAATGTAAGGTACCAGAAGACATGTTGTTTCCATTATTTGATATTGACATCATACAGTTTTGACTCATTTTATCCGGATCAGCATGCGATATTTGTCGATTATTAAGATTATTCTGAAAGTTCATGGAAGAGTTGTTTGTCGTGCTATTAGCTTTTAAAGCAATATTTTGCAATTCCATCTTGTTATCCATATTATTTTGGTTTAATCGCCATGGTGTTGGCGATTTTATACTCTGATTGACACTTATCGTGGGTAAGCTACAATTAGAATTTTCTTGAACATTTCCACTAATTTCTATGACATGTGAGTTTTCGATCTTCATGTTATTTTTACTGTTCGATGGAGCTATTGAACTTGACACTATAGGTTGTGACAACGGTATTGATTGCATCGAAAACGACAGCATTGAATTAGGTATAGACTGAGATATTGCCATTAAAGGCTGGCCCGTAGAGGATACCAATGTTACGTTAGGAGACATTGATAAATTATTTGGTTTGGACATATTAGGTTTCTGCATACTCTGTGTAGAATTTGATAACGACATGCTGTGTATTTGAGAGGTAATCGGATTAACATTCTGCCTTCCTGTCATTAAGTTTCCAGGACCAGATTGTGAACCAACTGTTAATGGAACGGGACTCATCTGAATTACTTTCGGAGTCTGTCGATTACTATTGTTATTTGATTGTTTGTCTGGTAAAGGTTGTAGTGTTAAGTTTGGTACAGTAGTCTTCACTGACTTCAGGGTTTGAGGTGTTGATTGGACAGTTTGTGCTGTAACCACATTTGGTGTAGAGGAGGCAGCTTGTGTGGATACACTTTCGCCGACATTATTTACGACAACATAACCTGTTGGTACTTCCACAATAGGTTCTATTTTACTTGCTTGAAAAACTTGTGTTGTAGTAGCAGAGAAACTGCTATTTTGAGCAAGCACACCTTGCATTGCAGTGGATACAAATTGCTGTGATGACATGACTGTATTCTGTACAATTGTTTCCAAGCCATAATACACGGGCTGTGTTGTTGTTAGATACATACAACCTGATGGATCAGTAACCATTTCCAAAGTAGGTGTAGAACCAAGTAATACTTGGTCATTGCAAAATTGTGGTAATAATGTTCCTTGAGGTAATATTGTTGCTCCTTGAGATGGTAATGCTCCATTTGGAATAATAGTGGTCTGTCCATTTCCAATACCACTTTGAGGTACTACTGTAGCACCAGCAGTTTGTAAAGTGCTATTTGGTATAAGCGTAGCAGTTTGTGATGTTATTGTACCAGGTGCAAGGCCTTGAATGGTCCCTTGCGGTATAATAGTAGCTCCATTCTGTGTGTGGATTGCCTGAGGCAATATAGTAGGACCATTAGGTCCCTGAGAAATTATACCTTGAGCTTGTATTGTACCTTGGGGCAAAATTGTTGCTCCTTGTTGTATTGCTTGTGGTAAAATTCCCACATTTCCTTGTGACAGTAATACTGGAATGCCTCCACTTGGTACAGCCACTAAACCGCCAGACTCTGTCTGTTGTATTTGAAATGTTTGCGGTACAAGACCACTTTGTGATATAAATTGTGTAGGACCTGTTTTAAAGTCCCCTTGTGGAGCAATAGTTGCTATGTACTGCATGTTTTGGTTTTGCTGCTGAGACAATGCTTCAACATAGGCAGACATTATATTCTGATTTGCTACTGGCTGAACAATAATTGACGGTTGCCCAGCCTGATTGTTTGTTTGTAACTGTATTACTGTATTTCCAGGTCCAAGTGGCGATTGATTAATTGTAGTAAAAGTCTTTTCTAATTTAGTTTGCCTTTTTATTGTAGTTGGTTTTGGCATTGGGCGACCTCTGCCGCGATTTGCCGCTTGGAAAATTGGTTTTGGTTGAACTGGCGGGGGTTGCTTTTTCGGCGACTTTTGGGGAGTCCCTGGTAGAATAATTTGCTGTTTATTTTGTGAATTGGGCGATGAAAGTCTTTGAGTGGTCATAGCGGGAACAACAATGGTAGGATTCCCCTGAATTTGAGGCCTGATCATAGGCTGGATATTTTGTATTATTGATGTATTTGGCATTCCTTGTATTGAATTTACTGGTAAAGCAATAGATGATGCACTAGCCATATTGGGGAAATTTGTTACTTGATTTTTTCCCTGTATCATTGGCGTGATATTTCCGGATTGGTTAGAGGGAATTGTTAACATTTGATTAGAATTAGATGATATAACTTGAATACCTCCTGTTCCTGATAGCAATTGCGCCATGTCCGTTCCAGCTTGAATTTGTTGTATGTTTCCATTACCATTACTAGGTTTAACACAGATGTTGTAAGGTAGAATCCCTGGTTGTGTGATTATTTGAGGAGTCATAATTTTTTGTCCACTTGATGTACTAGTCTTAGGAGGCAATAACATTTGTGGAGTAACAACAATTTGCGGTGACGAGAGTACTTGTTGATTCGCGGATACTTGAACATTGGTAGTTTTACTCTGATCAAATATGACTGTGCCAGATTTCATTTGCTCTGTAATTGTCATAGTCATCTCATTACCGGAACCTGGAGACGGTGTTTCAACAATGGTGCCATTTATAGTTATTTGTCGGGTATTAATTGACGTCCTTCTTGCAGAAATTCCTTCTGCTTTAACAGAGTTCTCGCTTCCACTAACAACTCCAGCATGTATTATCATTGGCTGAGCAAATGCACCCTGGAAAGCATTTTGTAAAGTTGTCAAAGTCCTATTTTCTGGTGATTTTGGATTTTCACTCTCACTTTCACTAGTTGACATCATGTCACATGATGGAACGTGCCTGTCATATGACTCTTTGTTTCTGTAAGTACACTGACATCTGTCACATCTAACAAGTTGCTCCACTTGTCCAGGAGCCCCCGAACCGTCGTCTAAAGGTCTCATCACTAACTCCGGTTGTCCACTTATGGCATTACCAGCAATAGTGACAGTGTATGTGCTTTCAGTTCCACTAGCTCTATACAGGAATTGATTAGAGTGATTCCGTTGTATACTATCATTGTTTCCTGTATGATCTTCAGCCCCATCGAGTTGCTGAATTGGCGTAAAATCATTTTCTTGTGGGCTATTGGGTCTAGAACTGCATGTACTTTCGGAACCTGACCAATCTGCTGCACCATCTAACTGAGAAATTGGGCTACACTGTATTTTAGTATAAAAATCTATGACGTCAGTGTAGTAGCCCTCAGCCTTATCCGTTTTCTCATTAGAATTATCCTCTTTATGTTTCGGCGATGTTGGGCGATAATTGATACCTGACGAATGTGGTGTTTCTTGGCAAACATTATCATTGGCAGCATTCTCTGGTTTGATTTTCTTTTCAATATTATTTTGTTCATTTTCTTTAATAGAATCCAATGAATTCTCTGGTACTGCAATTCTTTGAACTGGACTCAATTTTTCAGTGACTGTTGAAGTTTTTCCTATTTTACATCGTTTAATAGTTGATGATAATAAGCTAGTATCGAATCTATTATTCCATGTCAAGCTTGTCGAGCGTTGCTGCCCACGTCCAGTAGTCAGTGTTTTCAGGTTATGATTTTGCAAAAGCATTTCAGACTTACTTCTCTTTAACTCTTTATTTCCTGATTCTAATCGAGCATTCAAAAGTTCATCAATGAAGTCAGTGGAACGTGAATCGGATTTGTCATCAGACTGAGTCATTACTCCGAAAAACTCATTCTTCAAGTCCATTGCTACAAGATCTTCATATGACATAAGTTTGGGGAAAATGTCTTGCATGGATATTCCATCTAGAAGGTCATGGTTAAGATCTTCAAATATAGCATCTTTTACTTCTGGTGGCAAAAGATCTGCTGTATTTTGAGGCTCTTCGTCATCTTGCTGTTCCTGTTTACACACATTATCTAGTAGATATTCTACAACTTGTTTTACAGCTAGATCTTCCAAAGTTACTGAATTGCCAAACTTAATTGGTGATTTATCATTCTTTAGCATAAGAACAGATTTTTGTCTTGTCTCTAAACTTTCGTGCCAAGCCCCAATTTCGGCAATAGCTCTTTCAACAACATTGCCGTCCATTGTATGATCAACAGTTATATTTACTCCAAAGTCATAACCAGGAAGTGGTTCAGCGAGGATTAATTTCGTCTTTATTGTATACCTCACTATCTTTGATGGTTTCTTGCATGACCAAAACAGACGAGTGCAAGAGAAATCTACTGGCATCAAGAAATCTTCATAATCAGAAACAGATGGCACTATCTTTCCCAGACTATGAACTGTTAATGAACCCATTAGAAATTGCACTTTACTTATTTCACTGTATCTTTTCTTCTTCTTATCTAACTCCACATAAACTGGCCTTGTTAATTCAAAGTCAGCATCCTTTTGTAAACTCTTTTTCGGAACATCATTACCATGTGCTGGGCAGAACACTCTTTTATCATCCATGAAAGCACAATTCTCTTTTCTAGCGCAGGCATAGTGGTAAGTTTCACTACAGTTCTTAGCACAGCAGCCCACACTTGCCCCTTTGACTTCACAAGATGCACATTTAATCATTTTCCCCCTTGATATTGCAGAGTGAACATTCTGAAGAGACCCATCAATTTCTTCAAAAACTTCTGCAGACCAAAGTGCACAGTTAGCATGTATCCAGTCATTCTGGCCACAGTATAATAATCGACCTTCCATTGCAGGAGAGCCATCACCAACAACTTTACATAGTACACATGTTCTTGAATCTACAATGGGATAAAATTCTAACAACTCTTCTTCTATTTTCCTTCCTTCACATTCTAACTTTGGTACAATCTGATCTAATGACCTCTCAACGGAATGTTCTGTTTTCACTCCTTTTTGGTCAACCATCTCATGATCTTTTAAAAATTCACCATCTTCTTGTTCACCCTCAACTTCTAAGTTAGGCTGAAGGCAATTATTTTCACAGTCAAACCAAGGGAATGTTTCTGAGAATAATTCTTTATATATTGATTTAAGATCATCATTTGATGTTCGTTCAATAACATCTTTCATATCATGGTTAAAATCTTTTAGTGAAATGTATTCATCACAGTTTACTCTCCTCTTAATATCTAACAGAGATGGTGAAACTAATCTACTAAGATCATTTTGTGAACTGTCTTCATTGAGTAAGTTTGATTGTCTTATTAAGGCTGGACTAAGATCTTGTTCACTACGAGCTTGAGGGAAACTCTTAACTGGTTCATCATCATCTGATATTGCTTCATACTTATCATCATGAATTGTTGTAGGCAACATAGTCATAGCCTTCTCTGATTTATTTTGACCTAGAAAATTTTCATGTACCTCAACACAGGAAGCACTAAACTCCATTTTATTATTATACAGTCCAGTGGAAAAGCAAATTTCTTTGTTTTGCATAAGTGGTTCTTGCAAATTTACAACTTTATGAGTTGCATGCGGCACATCTTCTTTTCCCATTACTACTTCTGTGAACAATGATGAGCAATTCCAAATATTTTGAGAGGAATTATTTCCATCAAATTTATTTTGGGAAGGATTACTACGTCGTCCTCTTGAAGTATTTCTGTACACTTTGGTCTCGGTTGTATTCTTCATAGTTTCATCTTCATTGTCAAAGTGCAATTTCCTTATAGCTTGGGGTGACATTAAACGGTAAGGTTTGTTGGGCACGGGCGTATTTTTATGTGGTGTAAGTTTTAATAAAGCGCATGCCTTCCTGTTTTTTGCAAGCTGCTTAAGCAAATGCAAAAGTCGTGCTTTTAGATGTTCCGTTAGCATTTTTCTCCAAGGTGGGTCATGAGGCATACATTTACAACAAATGTATTCAATTGATGGTGGTAATGCTGAAAGAAGTTGATATCCTTCGCCAGATAAACCTTCACAGCTTGCATGAACCCATCTGCCACACCATCCGCACTCCATCATCTAAAATTAAAAGAAAGTATATAGTTTTGAAAATAACAAAGAAATTACTTTTACAAAATACATTTAAAATTGTAATTAAAATCATACCTTGCTGTCAAAATCATTATCCCTATAGCAAGCCTGACATAGAGGACAATAGTTGCCCTTCTGTCGAAGCTTAAAGCAGGGTCTGCAAAATGGTAAGCTTCCAACAAATTTGTTAACGCGATTGCTGTCACAGCTCTTGCATTTCAAGCATGCACTGCATATCTGTAATTAAGGTGATAATAGGATTTTATCATAATCATTAGTCCATAAAAGTCTACTGCTGGACGTCATATATTTTATCATATTAAGGAATTTATGGATGACTAGCCACTCTCACTCAGGCTTTGCATGGGTGGGATCGATTTTTATGGCGTTTTAGGATCATTAAAGGTCATTTAGGTAAACAATTTTTCAATTTTTCGGAAAAATAAACTGCCAAGTTTTTTCAATGAAATATAACCTTGCTTTTGGTGTAGCTCTCTATCTGTTTTTGAAGTTTCATTACAGTCGGTTCAGCCATACTGGCGGTAAGCATGGACAGCCAAACACACATGAAAATAACACTCTCAGCTTAATAGAACATTGACTTCGAATATATAGACGGACATAGTGTGCAAGAGAGAAGAAAATTCCTTAGGGCAAAAATTCAAGATAGAAAAGGATAGCAAATCTCATGACTGTAAACTATTTTGAATTACAGGATATTTTGTAATTTTTAGAGCACAACAGTGATTAAATTTGTAATCAATTGTTTTCCAAAACGGTTACATGTTATGTGAGTGACTGGGGTGTCAATAATAGAAATATTCCTGATAGTTGCACAATTCACAGGTAAAATTTGCAAAGACGTCATTACTGCTATGTCGCGTCTATTCTTGGTTAAAATTTATTTATTAAACTGATTAATATATAGAATATTTTTAATTATTTTATTAATTTTGATATGTTGCAAAGAAAAAATTCATGTTGTCGACAATTTGTATATACATTTCTCCACAAAATATTTTACATGTACGCTAGGTATTGACTCAACTATATCTGCTACTTTTTATTCGACTATAGAACTTAAAAAAGATGGATTAAGTATTTTCCTTCCTTTAGATGCTAATTTCTATTTTATGTGATTGATGTATTTTTCTAAAATAAATAAAATATTTATAAATAGTGTAAAATTAATTTAACCGTTGCGTAATAAATTGAACTTCGCCGACATTCTACGTTTACTTTTTCAAAACAGTGCCATTTAAGGTAAAATAACAAAAGTAGTGCATTTTGCATCCAGTTACTAATAGATTAAATAATATAAATAACTTATATTTATATTTTTAAATTATTAAAATTTTAACTGATTTAAAAATTCTAACGTTCATTTTTTAGTTCACTTGTTATTTCATTTTAGTAGAAATTAATAAATTTTATAATAACTAATTACTACTTAAATAATTAATAGTGACACCTATCGAAAATTATAAAATGTTTCTAAGTTCAATTTCTAATCTATGAAAAAGTGTTTAGTAGATATTTGTCTTTTTAACAATTTTTTTATAGGATAGACTATAGAACTAGACTAGAACTTTAAATAAACTGATAAAAACCGCAATGATGTGGCAGAAAAATTCAAGCCCACATTAATGTTTCCTTCTTTGTTATTAGTTATGTTTTATATGAATTATTTTAGACATAATTAAACCGAACCATAAGTATAACTAAATGTAGAAAAATTAAAATCATCAAACCACTAAGGCATTGTTTTGTGTATTAACATAATAATCTAGAAAGTAATAAACTATTATTTAAAAGTAATTTCTCAAGTAACTGACATTGTGTAACAAAAAAAATTTATCTCAATTACAACGTACGACAACTGGTGAGTGGAAGATTACTAGGACTCATTATTACAAAAGTCGTATTATCAGATCTTAGAATTTATAATATCATGAATTAGTCGATTATTGCGTATTGCGTAAAATGGCAACATTTCATAAAATGTAACAGTATTTTTTGGCTATATCGTAATATAGCTTGACCATATCAAACAAAAGGATCGTTTGGCATTATTAATAACTAAACACGACATTGCTATTTCTAGATATTATTGTTATATCGTAAAGCAATTTGATTACACACTCTAGCAGCACTGTGTAATAAAAGTGTAATGTTGACAGAAGCAGAATTTTTAATAGATTCTACATCACTTTATACCTAATTTATGTAATATATAAATGTTTGCGGTTTTAACGGGCGATTGAGCCATTGATTGATTGCCAGTCACAGCACCTCACTTATTGTGGTTGAGTACTAGAAGGTACTGTTTTGGTTTTCATAGTTTTAATCTATTAATAGCGCCATCTACTTACTGCTAAATAAACTAATAATAGGTAACTGATAAAATATCGTTGAAACATCAAAAATTGTCAGTCTTATATTCAGTTCGGTGGCCATTTTCTGCATGATTTATTATAATTGTTAATTTTAACAAAATTACTAATAAAACTGTATACATAAAACTGTGATTTAGAGATAAAATCTTTAGTAAAATATGTTGTGTGTCTTTCAGCATAGCAATATCCACTTTCTTTTTTTATTGAGTCCAATATAAGTAATAGAAAATTAAGTGCACCGTGAGATTTTTATCAATAATTGATGGAATAGTTCGTGATAACATGGACGCAGCATTTATAGTTTGAATGAGACTTTTAACAGTTTGTCAAACATTAAGATAGCTTCCGTATTTTTAAATATACCTATTAAAATATGTGTGACTGTCCCGGGTTCAAAGCTCACATGGGTAAATGAACGGGCTCTTGCGAATGAGTACTATATATATCAAAAAGCAAATTTTAAACATAGGTTTATTTTTATTTTAACTATGTGTAAAATTTCATTGATAGAATCTTGAAAGTCATCTGTCAAAGCCGGCAATCGAGATGATCCAAACGTAAATTTCGTAGTACGCAAGCAACCAATATCACTAATATTTTAATTGCAATTTGAAGTTTCGATTTTCCACATTCTTGATAGTTAAGGAAAACATCATGAGGAAACCTGCAAGTTAAAAAATATTTATTTTTTAAGTTTTAATGGATGAAGTAGGTCATCCCGCATTGGAGTCAAGGCAATCGACTCCTATTTGTCCTAAAAGTCTCTGCCGGCTGGGGCCCACAGTGGGATGTATCTACGCTGCTACTACTTTTAATACGGCTATCCACTACTGATCATGGGCTTCCTATTGTTTGTCAAATAGGCCGGATAACATAAAAAAAAAACATAAACACTCACGCCTGTCACCCCGAGGGGTAGGTAGAGACTACAGACTTCCATTTGGCACGATCCTGACACACCTCTCTTGCCTTCTTCACATCCATACACCTACGCATACATGCTCGTCGGTTAAGGGTACTCCTAATTTGGCCCGTTTTCAATAAATCGCCATTTTGGTCGATAAATTTTCGCCTAGGACGTCCCTTTCCGACTCTGCCATTCACTTCTGCACCATAAATTTTCTTTGTCACTCTTTCCACATGGCCAAACCACCGAAGCATTCCTTTCTTAATCCTGGTCACAACATCATCTTGCAAACCACACTCTTCTCTTATTACACAATTTCTTACCCTGTCATTCAGATTCAGCCCTAACATACTCCTTAACGACCGCATTTCTACTGCGTTTATTCTACTTTCGTGCTTCTTCTGCCACACCCAACTTTCACTACCATATGTTAAAGTAGGGACCAACACAGCATTGTGAATTGCCATACGTGCCTTTTTCGACACATTTTGACTCTTCACAATAGAGTGCAAGGCCCCATTTACTCTAGGCCGGATATTTGCAGTAATATTCACGGTTGGCAAGCGGGTTGGAAACTGTAGCTTTTTATTACTTTCGCCGCCTCTACATGGCTAGTAAATTTCTGCCACAGTTTATCAATTAGATTCCCCGCATAGATTGCCAAATAAGTTGGATATTTGCCGCAGTTGCTACGCTTACCATATAAATTGCCAATTGCATATTTTTATTATTGTAATCTATGATCAGAAAGACGCTGCTGCCCATCTTCTGGAAGTTTCTACTCCCGTTCATGAATATAGTTCTTCTCATTCATGGTGTATTAAACTACATTTATGACATTTTGAAGTCCACTTGACTGTAAAAAATACTGGAATGTATTTTATGATGCAAATTAATAATCAATGGGGCCAATATTAATGATGACAACGAAATTCAACGTTTTTTTTTAAAACTATATCAGCTTAATTGTGTATATTATGTAAGTAACACATTTCTGATTCCAGGGCTATTTTCCCTTTATATACACATCGGAAGACATGCCCGATACAAAGAAAGGTGTTGCAAGACATATAATATTAATGCAATTCTGATACTCACTAATGTGCTTCTGTAGCATTTATATTGCAAAATGTTGCTAATAATTTCCTACGTCCAATATGGACACAGATACCGAGGTGTTTCTACAAGTGATATGACATAAAAAGATATGGAAGATCTTTTTACATCACATGTGTAAATGTTGTAATTTTAGCTAGAGATGTTATCGAGGTTCGATTCCGATTCCGAAAGTTCGGAACTTTCGATTAATTTTGCACCTTCGATTCCGATTTCGATTCCGATAAATTATAATCAGAAGTTATATCGGAGGTCGACGAACAGCGGCGGTGGCGGCCGCTATCGTGTACGTGTACGAACAAGTTTATAGTTTTCGCGCGGGGAACTTCCCTGAAATGATTACTCTGCAAGATCTTCCATTCAATTTAGTAGAAGGTATTGGATTCAGACGACTTTGCAGTTCATAGTGCCAAATCATCCCTTAAGGCGAAGACAGTTTTTTACCGAATATATTTGTGATTAATAATGTGTGTAATTTTATTTTATAAGGTATGCCCTTAACATGTACTTATCTCTTATGCCTTCACCTCCGATTCCGATTCCGTTCCACAAACCAAATTTAAAAACTCTGCTTCCGAATTCGGTTCTGATATAACTTCTTCCGTAACATCCCTAATTTCAGCATTCAAATACTAACACACACACACACACACACACACACACGCACGCACGCGCACGCACACGCACACACACACACGCGACGCGCACGTGCACGCACACGCACACGCACACGCACGCACGCACACACACACACACACACACACACACACACACACACACACACACACACACACACACACACACACACACACGTTCGACGCACACATACATTCCATCACGATAAATTTGTTAAATACTTATAATATTATTATTATTATTATTGTTCTTATATATTTTATATTCTTATATATATTATTACTATATTTAAAAAAAATAAAAAAATATGCAATACCAAATTATTGGTTTTTGGATCTGATATCCATGATCCATGTCTCTGTCACATTATTAACACTTATGGAGGCTCAACAGACCTAGTATTTACTATTTTGCTTAATAACTATTAAAATTCGACATTTGCAGTATTTTCACTCTTAGTACCTTTCAACGATAGTTTAGCACAGCAAATAACAACGTTGGTAGTCAGTTAGTTTAAAAGTGTCAGTAGAATATTGGAAAGTGTGATTTTACTTCAAAAAAGACATTGTATTTTTGTTATTTTTATTAAATATTTCTATAATGATTGATCCCTCTTTATTTCGTATAAGTAAGTACAATAATGTGTAATAAAATATAGAAGATTTTTTTGAAATAAGTAATTATATATAATTAAATATAACAATTAGCCTTAAACATGTCACAAAATTATGGAGAAATTTATATTATAGTATTAGTAGAAACAATAAATATTAGTATTTGAGTCAATTATACTTTTCTTTACACACATATTGAATCTTTATTAAAAAGTAACGATTTACGTTTATAAAGCAGTTTTGGAATAAACTTATGATATTATACTGGGTCCAGTGGACCCAGTAGCAAGCATTTGTGCTACAAATTGGGATGCGACTCCTTAAGTGTTAAATTATATTATTATGCTGTTGGTTAGGAAGTGTGTACATGTATGTTTGCACATACATTTGTGGCAACTATGCGTCATGCGCAGTTGATAGTTTCCGATCATTTGAAAGTTGTTGGCGTGGTCAAAAATCACATCGAAGTAATCCTCGTCAAGTGTATACTAAACATTTATATAACATTAAAAAAATACCTGAGGCCAGTCACTTCTGTGATCAGGTGGGGCAGGCACCAAACAACCAGCATGGTGGTGACGTGCGCAGGATCGACAACGCAGTCTTGCTGCAGCACGGGAGCACACAGCACAAGCAACACAACGAGCACAAGTCCAATCTCCACTACTTGCACTACGTCCAACATCTTCTGCACACCATCCATGGTACCATTCACAGCAGCTTGAGCATACCAGCATCTAAAAGATAGTATTTAGAATTGTTATAGATGCAACAAATAGCGATTTTCGTAAATACTTTGCTACACTCCTAGAAAAAAAATATGTGCAATTAGTATATATATGTCAGGGAGTGATGAAGACCCTACTATCGAAGTTGAAGATCAAATGTGGTAGAATCGTTTTCGGGATTTTGAACAGGGATGGGCCGAATATGGATTTCAACGAATACGAATATTCGGCCGAATGTTCGGAAAAATTTTTACCGAACCGAATATTCGGCAGGATCTAAACAACCTCGGGACCTAACCAATTTATGTCGAAACTTGTTACCGTAAAGCGCGCGGGATTAGCACCGGACCCTGCCTCTCGCTCCCCGCCACACCTGACAGTTATTGCATCATCTAGTACTAAGCAAATTGCCTGCACATGCTTATGTTTTGACTATTGACTGACTTGTGATAAAAAAGTATTTCGTTGTTTTATTCTTAGTTAACGTTACAGCGTATATACGTCCCACTCCTGGGCACAGGCCTCCGCTCATTTTTGAGAGGGTTTTAGGGCAAGGAATTGTCCGCCGCGCTGCCCCAATATGTTTGTTGGCGAACTACACATGTCTTCGAAATATATTTTTTCTTATTTCTCGGACAAGCAGGTTTCTTCACGATGTTTTCTTTCACCGCTGAGCACGTCAATCAGTACTTGCAATTAACAATTTCGTTGGTGCCGGCGGGGATCGAACCCGGTTTGTTTGAGCACTGTGAAATTTACAGCGAGCGCTAACCATCTGAGCTACCACGGCTCTTTATTCTTGGTGTAAAAGAGCAATTTCATTCTTAGTGAAAATTGATAATTATATGATAAAAATTTGTGGCAGGAGATTTACTATTTGGACTTATTTTAGAGAAACTGATGATCAAAGTGAAACATACTAATGTAATGTTTCTTTATTTGATTCCAAAAACATTTTATCAAGTTTCTGTTTGCCACAATCGGAAATAAATCCATAGTGCCTCAAAAACATAAATGTATAGATTTATATATTTGAGGCACTCTAGAGTAAGTAGACCCATAAATTAAATATACTTTCAACAGTAAAAGACATCGCATTACTGAATTCATACATTTCAATACATTGGACACTATGAAAACGAATGGTCGGTGATTTAGCCGAATATTCGGTAAAGCTGCCGAATATGCCGAATACCGAATATAAAACGAATATTCGGCCCATCTCTAATTTTGAGTGAGATTGAGAGGTTCTACATGCAGCTCCTCTTCCATGTGATCCAAGAGCAAGTCCGATTTCGAGTCATATTCCGATAATACCCCAGACATCAGTATAAACAAAATTAGAATGACTCTCCCGCACCTTATAAACAGTTAAGCCCCGGGCGAGAATGAAATTACAGCGGAGCTTCTGAAAGCGAGTAGAAAACCTGTAATTGAAGTCCTTCAGAAGATCTTCAATTTCGTTTCCCATAGTGGCTCGACTCCGGAGTTGAGAAGCATGAATGTAGTGGTCTTATTCTTCAAGAAATGCAACACTGTTCTATTGAAGAACTACAGACCCATTTCCCTTCTAAACATAACCCTACATGATGCTTTCCAGAGTCATTAATATGTCGATCAGAATCTAGTGTGTAAAATGATATAAAAAAAAATACGTGTGGCACTCGGTGACTGCCGCGGTAAAGCTATTGCATAGCATTTTTTATCAACATATGCAATTATAATTATTTATTTATTTTATTTATGCAGTTAAGTCTTTGATATTAAATCAAGTTACACTTTTTGAGCGTGGTGACCGATAAGAAAACAATTTTTTTTCTCTTATTGAATAAATGAGAAGTTAATATTGTTTAAAATATTTTTAATATCTTACAATACATGCAGGTTATTCAGGAATTTTTGCCATTGAGTTAGCAGCTGTGGATAGCACCACACAAACACCGTGCCGAAGTCTGCCGAGTGCCGAAGTCTGCCGAACTGAAACGACGTTAGATGATGCACGGCTTTCAACGCCACACCTCCGTGCCCGTCGGAGTGGGGAGCGTGAGGTTTTTTCGTTACGGAATTTCTGGATTCGGTCCCCGCGCTCAAGGCCCGCGATAGAAGCTATGCAATAGCTTAATAAACATTTTCCTGTGACAGCCAAGAAAAGTACTACACTCATGTATCTTGCCATGAATCAGAAACATCTCATCAGAAATTGAGAATGTGTCAGAGGAGAATTGAAATGTTAGTCGTGACGCTAAAAGACCTCAAAAAGCAGAAGATAATAGATCTACGAAAGAAAATTAGAAAGTTAAAATGACAATGGGGACAGGACATATGACAATAGACAGCAGGATAAAATGGATGAAAATCATAACAGAATGACAGCCACCTGATGGCAAAAGAAAAAGGCAGACAAGCAAGACGATTTCGGTTCGGAAGGGAGTAGCCATAGCGTTTTTTCCCAATATAGAACTGTCTGTCATTTTTTGCTTAAATTTTGATTAAAATTACTTCTATTAAGCGATAAGATTTTCAGCTCATAATTGACGACACATTTTGTAACTTATTCAGGTCAGATTTAAATAAACGATAAAATGTGGTTGATTTAAATCAAAGTGTACATGAAATTAAAAGTATATTGTCACGAGAAAATTATATTATATTATATATAGTTGATTCAACTTGTCAAGCACATGTTGAATAAACTATATAATCAATGTTGTAATTTTAATTCAATAGTCACGCAAAATGTTAGATCTCAACAGCATCAAAATGTAAAGTCAATGTACAGTACTTAGATTTACCATAAACACGCAGACTTAATAACAATTAATTATATAAAGTTAGTTACATGAACGACGAAGTTTCGAGTTTAAAGAGATGGAAGGAATACTTTGAAAGTGTGTTTATGAGTGAAGATTCGTCTGAATTAAATGAACATGAACTAGAAATTCCGAAAGAAGTGGAAAGGGGCAGGGAGATAAGTGTAGATGAAATAATGAAAGCAATGAAGAGCATGAAAGCAGGTAAGGCAGTTGGAAATGATAGAGTATCACTCGAGATGCTAAGGGCTGGGGAGGGAGTGCTGGCAGGCTTGCTGTACAGCTTGTTTAATTTATGTTGGGAATTGAAGCGGGTACTGCAGGACTGGTGTAAAGCAGTTATAGTCCTAATATATAAAATTAAAAAATCAGTTTAGCTAACTACAGCCTTTTTTTAGCATGGACTGTTAATACTTATTTATGTGGATGATTTAACAGTTTGATTAAACACTTAATATTTTATTTAATTTTCCTATTATATTAAGGTGTCTTAAACTTTTGGTCGGCAGTGTATATGGATGTATAGGAAGCGAGAAAGGTATGTCAGGATCGTGCCAAATGGAAGTCTGTAGTCTCTGCCTACCCCTCTGAGTGACAGGCGTGAGTGTTTATGTTACCACAATTTTTACTTGTATTTCTAGCCCTAATACAAGCAATATGTAACAACAATAAATGTACTTGCCTTTTCACATCCAGCACTTCCACATAAGAAGCACAGCCGGGCTACAGTAAATGGAGCTGTTCCTATAAGGCCGAACCCAGTACTGCATACTTCATCGGGATCATAGCTCTCCCAGAAGTCGACGCAAATTAGTTCGGGCCGATTTTGTCCACATTTTTGCGTTCGGCCACGCACCTGAAAAATTATATAATACAAACCATTATACAACCATAACCATGTTGGTGATGGTTGGTGGTGTAAAAGAAACCTTTTTTGTTTTATTTTTATTATTTGTCAGGTCAGCTGTTGGAACTGATAAAAGCCTATTCTATTTTAGTTAATCTGTTCTTAAATTGGTTAATGGTCTGTGCAGATATCACTATTGAAATCCGGAAGTATTACAATAATTGGTACAATGTTTAATATTTTCGTGTTTAGTAAGTAAGTATAGTATAATAATTTTATATTTTTTAAATCATCATAAAAGTAGTGATAAGGAATTTTTATTTCAGTATTGTTCATTGCAATTGTATTATGTTACATAAAATATATTATATATTGTATTTTACCTTATCCTACTATGATATACTTACAAAATGAATACCACAATAATGCAATATTATGTGGTGTTAAGATAAAAAATAAATACTATGGGTATATAAAAATGTAACTTACACATTTGTTATGTTTAATAATGGCTTTTGGGCCGATTTCTTAGGAATAAGATCTAAAACCGTCTCATCTTCACTAGATTCCAGCTTAGTTTGAGGTTTTGTTGCAACTGTGACTTCTATCTTTTTCTTTTTAGTCTCAATCTGAATTTCAGCATCACTTTCTTTTATTACAACAGTTTCTGGAACAGTTTGAAGCGGTTTATTCTCTGTATCAGTTTCGGATTCGCAGCTTGATAAATCTGGGGTTCCATTCTCCTTGTCATTAATAGGGAGCAAAGTATTATCATCATCAGACGAAAGAGATTTATCAGGCTTATCCTTCTCCTCTTGTGTCGGGAATGTAGCAATTGGTTGCCCCAAAACAATTGATGCACTTCGACAGACATGTTTGACTCTTGGTCCTTTAAGTTCCATTTTTTGCCTTTTAGGGTCTTCAGTCTGTTTCACATCACCTTTATCTTTCTTTCGGACCTTCACCCTTGTAAGGCGTCGCTTTCTATTGTTACAAAAGTCTTCATTTAATTTCTCATCTTCTTTAGATTCCTTCTCAACTTTTTCCTGAAACAATATTGATATTATGATAATGCTATATATACATATTAGCCGTGTAGTGGTGGTTAAGAACATCCACTACCCCATATCTTCCCGTGAGTGTCGTAAAAGGCGACAGAGGGAAACAGGCAGGAGATGGGCAGCAGCATCTTCCTGATAACAGTAACTGTACGACAAAAAAAACTGCGGTTGCCAACCCGCACGCCAAGCGTGACAACTATGGTAATATACCGCCCATGAACAATTACACAAATAGACGGCCCCCAGTACTGTACTACGACCATCTGTCCCAAGGAGGTGTCTGATTTATCGTCCACAAGTCTCTCGTTAACAACGTTGTAACGGTAAACGGATTAGTAAGCTGAAGTAGCAATGGGCCAGCCATATAGTTCGAAGAACCGATAACCGATGGCTAAGAAAGGTTCTCGAGTGGCAGCCTCGTACCGGTAGGCGTAGTGTAGGGCGACCCCCCACTAGATGGAGTGACGACCTGGTAAGATATGCAGGAAGTCGATGGATGCAGGTGGCTTAGGACCGTGCTTTGTGGCATTACTTGGGGGAGGCCTATGTTCAGCAGTGGACTTGTATGATGATGATGATGATGATTATATATATACATGTATATAATATAAATATACAGATATCTTTATACTAATTTGCTTTAGTTTGTTTGCATATACTTCATTGAATTAGGTGTTAGCCTATAATGATATCTAGCATGTGTAATTGTGACACAGGGAACATGTTGTGTGTGACACTTTTTATTGCTGTTAGTGACTTATTGCCTAAGCAAGAGAACAAATTGAACATCTGCTCACAACAAGGAATAATCTCTGAATGTATTTTCGATATATTATATATAAATAAAATGAGAATAGGCTTATGTTCAGCGGTGGACTTGAGTGACCTGTAATGACAATAAAGATGATATGAATAGAATGTCATTCCTCACTATTGAAACTAATACACATGTTTGCATACAACATTTTCATTATCAGCTTAACGAAAAAAGATTACAGGGTCCTAAAATGCGCCTAGATGTAGACGCGTAGAGAAATTGTGCATTTATGTACAAATTGTGCTAATAAAGTTTAAATTTAAATAAATAATTAAAATTGCAATACAAAAGCAATAGTAAACAAAAACAATCAATGTTTACAAACCTCCTGCATTTCTACTTCTTCTGAAGGTTTCTTAGGAGACTTTATAGTTCCAAAGAGTTTATTTTCATTTTCGGTTGTAGTAAGAGCGCTAAACATGGGTTGCGGAGTTGATGTAGTATTGCTTGAAATCCTTAGTGGATTAACTTGTGGTAAAGGCCCTGTTGGCTTAGCACTAGCTCTCATATGTGGTGGCAGCATTGCTGTAAGACTGGCTCTAATATTTGGTGGCACTTGGAAGGCTTTTAGACACATCTTCAACCAACAAGCTGGACATCGGGTTTTATTTGTGCAACGTAGCAACTTCCATTGTTGTGATCGCACAATTGGTGGGACATGACAATTACCTGAAAACATTTTTTATTATTTAGCCACTAGATAATAGTAATATGATTACAGTGACAGTATCCAAATCCTTAAAGCTACAGACTACTAAACTAAAAGATAGTAGGTTGTTTCAATTAATGCCATGAACTCTTCTTAGCACTAACATTTTTGCATATTTTTTAGTAACAAAGGCATCTAATATGTTCAAAATACATTATGCATTTACAATACATTTTAATACTGCTCAATGGGCATGAATGTTATGAGAAATAAGCATTTGGTATAATTATAATAAATTTGATACTGAAACTATACCAAGATTTGATATAACAATCTCTGAAATAATATCTTTTTATGTGATAAATATGCTCCTAGAATAATATGAGTTTCTTTGATATAAATAAAAAACAACACAATTTTTAATAAATAGACTAAGGCAGTCATATCTACAAAGGCACAACGACGAGCGAGGCAAGGAAGTTACTGAGTGTGATCTGAGCAAGGGAGCCAGATGAAGAATTTTAAGGCATTTCTTATTATCCTATCACTAGATTAGATTAAGTTAGAACTCCTATTTTTTGTGTATATTTTATATTCTATTTTCCTATTATTGAATTAATCCATTGTTGGTAAATTGACATATATTAAGTACACAACCTTTATTTTTAATATTGGTTTTATATATAAATGGTTGCACGACATCTGTGATTGTTATAAAATCTTAGTCTATTTAATTCTATTTTTAACACTTACATTCTAAAACCTCCTTGTAAACTATACAAAAAGAAACATGTTTAATTATTATACAGAATATACAAATAATGACAAAAACTGCCCTTTTATTAGGTAATCAACTAAATGCTATCTGACCTGACATGAAGGTCACCAAAACAGAAATTTAAAGCCAGCTCAGTGAATAAGTGTTCACTAAATTTCAATAAACAAGTAATATGGGTTTGATCCATGAATCACACAAATTGTTAATTTCAGTCTTAAGTATCGATTTACCACATGCTCGTCGGTCAATAAAAATATTGTGAGGAAACATGCATTTATGAAATATATTGTTGCATGAATAAGTCAACTAGCGCCATCTAGTGTCAGGAACGAGAGCGAGGGGAGCATTGAGAAAATGACATCACAAATCGCTCAACTGACAGCGCCTAGTCGAAACTCGAACGCTCGATACCTTCCGCGTGTTTACTTGAACATTCTGGATATTTCTTTGCTAATTCAAATATATAGGCGCTGCAAGATGCGATCGAGGCAGAGTGAACTCGGCGACACAAGCGAAGTTTCGGAGTGGAATTAAGTGAATTAGTGTGTTTAAATTATTAGTGTTTTAACTTTAATTGTGTAAAGTAAATTAAAGTGTTAATTTAGGTAATTTTATCGGCAATTTTTATTGTCACGAACCTCAAGCTCGTAACAATTGGTGTCAGAAGTGGGATAAAATCATGCCGATTTTACCTAAGGAGGAAACGGAGGGTGTCCGAACCCGAAGTCAACGCCAGCAGGAGACGGACCAACGAAGATTTGGTGGTGCAACGCCGCAGACGTCGGAGGGCCAGCCACCGGCTGAAGGCCCGTCGGTAGCTCCTACATCTGCAGCACCTGACTTAGGTGCTCTGATGGTGATGCTGCAGGAGCAGGCTCGCCGACAGGAGGAGCAGGCTCGCCGACAGGAGGAGCAGGCTCGCCGACAGGAGGAGCAGGCTCGCCGACAGGAGGAACAGGCCCGCCGATTGGAAGAGCAGCTGCGGGGCGGACAGGAGGAACAGGCCCGCCGACAGGAGGAACAGGCCCGTCGTTTAGAAGAGCAACTCCAACGCGATAAGGAAGAGCAGATGCTCCTCATGAAGGACCTTCACGCTATCTTCGGAAAAGAGATACGGGAGGTGAAGGATAAGGTTGCTCAACATGACAACCGCCTGTCGGAGGCCGAAACCCGAATCGACCAAGTAAACAATCGGGTTGACAACGTAATGGCTGACGTGAAGAAAACGCTGGACGACCTCAAACTTGGGGATGGAACAACAGCTCCCGTAGTAGCTACAACACCTTCGCTACGTGGATTCAAAGTGCCGCCGTTCGACGGGACCTCTTCCTGGTCGTCCTACAAAATCCAGTTCGAGGCCGTCATGGAGGCAAACGGCTGGAATAAAAGCCAGGCCATGACTGCACTCACCTTAGGCCTGCGCGACCAAGCCTTAACTGTGTTGGAAGCTCTCGGTAAGAAAGTGACCTACGAGCAGCTCCTTGAGGCATTGGAGGCGAGATATGGCGACGCTCACCTGGAACACGTCTTTCGTGCGCAACTTAAAGATCGTGTGCAGCGCATCAACGAAAACCTGCAGCAGTGGGCTCTAGAAGTGGAGAAGCTGGTGCGAAAAGCATACCGGTCTGTACCTGCGCTCATTGAAGGGAACCTGGTGCAGACATTCATTGACGGCATCCGCGACCTGGAAGTCAGAGCTGCTGTGAGGCTCGGGCACCACGAGACGCTTAAGGACGCCTTGGCCCATGCACTGGAAGTGGAAGCCGTGCGGCAGGATCATCGTTCCCATCGCGTCAGGGAGGTTGCAGCAGCTACAGTTCGCGACCGCAACAAAGTATACAGCCCAAGGTGCTATGGCTGTGGGGAAAAGGGCCATCTTCGATCCAGCTGCCCTAAGCGAACCCTAGAAAGGGAAATTGAACGATCTCAGGAGGGTAGTGCGGCCAACAGCACCGCCCAGCAGCGGCAGGGAAACGAGTAAAAGCCAGAACTGCGGGGCGGGTGCTGGCTGATGTTAAAAGAGCCCCAAGGATCTCGATCTCACAAACCCATGATGGGAACAGCCTAATCATAAAGGGCGAGATCAACGGAATGCCGTGTAAGCTGACCATAGACACTGGAGCCTCTCGTACGGTTGTTAGTTCCCAACTTATAAGTCAGTTCCTTGGGGACTCCGCATACAACCGAGAACGCCTTAATTTGGTAACAGCCACCGGTCAGCGTATACCCGTCCGTGGAGAGAAGGAGATGGAGTTGAAGCTAGGCAACGTGATCTACCTGCATAATGTCATCGTGGCTGATATAATGGACGACTGCATCTTAGGCCTAGACTTTATGAGGAATAATTGTTGTGAGATCGACGTTAAGCAAGGTGTTTTGAAATGTGGACAGGAGGAACTTTTTATGGAAGGTGCGTTACCAGGGAACGTGTACAGCATCAAGAAGATTGTTCTTCCGCCGAGATCGGAAACGATTGTTCCGGTTAGTCTACCTCGAAACGCTGGGCAAGCTCACCGTTGTGTACTTGTGGAAAGGGTAAACAATGACCTTCCATGGAAAGTAGCTCGAACCTTGGTCAGGACCACTGACATCTCAGGAGTACGTGTGCTGAACCTTTGCGACCGGGAACAGATTATAGAAAAAGGCACACTGGTTGGTACTTGTGAGGAAGTGGATTGGTTACGTCAGTGCCAATATATATCGAGTGGGACCCCCAGCAAGGATTCAGAAACGAGAGTGACCACACTTTTGGAAGACTGTCGCAGTGTTCTGTCCCCGAACGAATTGGTCAAGGCGAAGAAGTTGTTACTCAGGTACGCCGATGTATTCTCATCAAATGATGCTGACATAGGAAAGACTGGCCTAGTTCAACACAAAATAAACACAGGAGAGGAATTGCCTATCCGTCAGCGGCCAAGAAGATTGCCGGTAGCACGTGAAAAGGAAGTGGAAACCATGATTGAAGGAATGGTGAAGGATGGTGTTATTGAACCTTCCTCTAGTCCATGGTGTTCACCAGTGGTGCTGGTGAAAAAGAAGGATGGCAGCATGCGGTTCTGTGTTGATTACCGCCGTCTGAACGACGTTACAAAGAAGGACAGCTATCCCTTGCCAAGAATTGATGACACGCTGGACATGCTTACAGGAGTAAAATGGTTTAGCACGCTGGATCTAAAAAAGTGGCTACTGGCAAGTTGAAATTGACCCTAAGGACAAGGAGAAAACTGCGTTCTCGACGGGAAAGGGTCTGTGGCAATTCAAAGTAATGCCGTTTGGGTTGTGCAATGCTCCAGCAACGTTTGAAAGGCTGATGGAACTTGTACTTACCGGGCTAATTGGCGATGCCTGTCTGGTCTACTTGGATGACATCATCATCGTGGGCCGTACGTTTGAGGAACATCTTCAAAACCTGGAACGCGTGCTCATGAAGATTCAGAGTGCCAACCTCAAGTTGAGCCCGAAGAAATGTTCACTATTTCAACGTCAAGTTAACTTTTTGGGGTTTGTAGTATCGGAAGAAGGTATCCGCACAGATCCAGAGAAAATCGCCGCTGTCAAGGATTGGCCGGTTCCAAAAGACAAGACGCAGGTTAGAGCATTTTTGGGTTTGTGCTCCTATTACCGGCGATTCGTGAAGAACTTTGCAGATATAGCTAAACCTCTGCACAAGCTAACCGAGGAGAAGCGACATTTCTGCTGGGATGAAAGTTGCAATATCGCATTCCAGGAGCTCAAGGACCGTCTGTGCAAAACACCTATTTTGGGATACCCTGATGCAAGCAAAGAATTTATAGTTGACACCGACGCAAGTGATATAGGACTTGGCGGTGTGTTGTCTCAACGTAATGGTGACCAAGAGGTCGTGATAGCGTACTTCAGCAAGTCGTTGTCAAAACCGGAAAGGAACTACTGTGTCACAAGACGCGAATTGCTAGCTGTGGTAAAGTCGTTGCAGCATTTTAGCAAATATCTTCTGGGGCGAAAATTTCACTTACGAACTGACCATGCTGCACTAAAATGGCTATTGCAGTTTAAAAATCCAGAAGGACAAGTTGCGAGGTGGATTGAACTACTGCAGGAATACGACTTTGAGATTGAACATCGTAACGGGAAATCTCATGGCAACGCAGATGCATTGTCAAGAAGACCTTGTCCTGAAGATTGCAAACATTGTACTAGGCAAGAGAGTAAGGAAGTGGTATCCGTGAGGATGCTCAGGGCAGACCACCTCAGCAACGAGTGGAAGGACAGCTTACAACGTGCACAGCAGGAAGATCCGGACATCAAGCCGATCCTGGAATGGATGAAGGTCAGTGCTCCCAAGCCCAAGTGGAGCGACGTCTCAGCGATGAGTTCGACCACTAAAAGCTACTGGGCCCAGTGGGACAGCTTGCTGCTTCAGGATGGAGTTCTGTGCCGTAAATGGGAAAATGTTCGGGGAGACAGCTGTCATTTACAAATGGTTGTCCCTAAAGCTAAAGTACCGGATGTTCTACAGCTGTACCATAATGATTATTCAGGAGGCCATCTGGGAGTTAAGCGAACTCTACTGAAGATCCGAGAACGGTTTTACTGGGTCCACTGTCGAAACGATGTCGAGGACTGGTGTCGCAAATGTACAAATTGTGCGGCTGTAAAGGGACCTCAGACTCGTAGTAGAGGTGCATTGAAGTTGTACAATGTGGGCGCACCATGGGAGAGAATAGCCATTGACGTGGCGGGGCCGTTTCCGGAGAGTGAAAGCGGTAACAAGTATTTCATGGTTGTGATGGATTACTTCACTAAGTGGCCAGAAGTCTTCGCCATTCCAAATCAAGAAGCTTCAACAGTTGCAGATAAATTAGTTCATGAAGTCTTCTGTCGTTTTGGAGTACCTTTAGAGATTCACAGCGATCAAGGAAGGAATTTTGAGTCTCAAATATTCCAGGAAACTTGCCGAGTTATGGGTACTCATAAAACAAGAACGACTTCTTATCACCCGCAATCTGATGGAATGGTGGAACGATTTAACCAGACATTGGAGAGGTACCTAGCAAAAGTTGTAGACAATCGGCAACGAGATTGGGACAAGCACATACAACCGTTTTTGTTGTCATATCGAAGTTCTGTTCACGAAAGTACAGCAGTGACACCAGCTTTCGCAAACTTTGGAAGAGAATTACGGCTGCCTGCAGACCTGATCACCGGGATACCACCCGATGCTCCACGCAGTATAACCGATTATGCAAATGACTTGCGGAAAAAAATGAATGACGTTTATGAGCACGTCAGACAATCGGGCCAGCAAATGTCTGAAAAGATGAAAACCCGGTATGACCGCAAAATGAACAACAAAGGGTTCGACGAAGGTTCACTTGTGTGGTTGCACAATCCAGTCCGCAGCAAAGGGAAATCTCCTAAGCTTCAAGCTAAATGGGACGGCCCGTACCGGATTGTAACCAGGATCAACGATGTGACCTACCGGATACAGAAAGGCGCAAGAGGGACTCCTAAGATCGTCCATGTGGACCGCTTGGCGCGTTATTATGGGACCGATAATGCTCGGGACGAGCATGTCTTAGGAGGGGGCAGTGTTGCATGAATAAGTCAACTAGCGCCATCTAGTGTCAGGAACGAGAGCGAGGGGAGCATTGAGAAAATGACATCACAAATCGCTCAACTGACAGCGCCTAGTCGAAACTCGAACGCTCGATACCTTCCGCGTGTTTACTTGAACATTCTGGATATTTCTTTGCTAATTCAAATATATAGGCGCTGCAAGATGCGATCGAGGCAGAGTGAACTCGGCGACACAAGCGAAGTTTCGGAGTGGAATTAAGTGAATTAGTGTGTTTAAATTATTAGTGTTTTAACTTTAATTGTGTAAAGTAAATTAAAGTGTTAATTTAGGTAATTTTATCGGCAATTTTTATTGTCACGAACCTCAAGCTCGTAACAATATTAACTTTTTGAGGATATGTGAAGTCTGCCAACATGCAAAGACGCAGTGGCAAACTTATCACACCCTTAAAAACCTGCCAGAAATGAGAAACTGTTGTTTTACTTAATATTAATAATATGTAAGATACAGACCTTCTCCTTTTAAGCATTGCATGACAACAGGGCCAGTTCTTTGGGACATTTTCTCCTTCTTCAACATTTTTGATATGAATTTACGACACGACTCGCAGGAATATATTCCAAATTTGCGTGCCTGTTTGACAAATCTGTAGAAACGGACGGCTCCGCATACACCACATGTAACAGTTGTAGGCGGATTGGGGGCTGAAATAATTTTGTTGTAAAGTTAGTAAAATATTTATTTTCTTGTCATAATTTATAAAATTTGTAATTTGCTACACATTAAACCATATAATATGTGCATAGTAAATATGAAAGTGTATAATTAATACTAAAATCAAACAGTTGCACGATTATCTGCCCTAGTAGTTGCATGTTGGTATGTATGTCTTCTAAGAGAGTAAGGCCTCAGTAGTGTTATGGGTAGATATGGGTACACCCTTTTTTTGGCAATATCCTAAGTAACAACAGCTAAAGTAGTATGTTCCATTGGATGCTCTCTTTTTATATTAATTTTAATCTGTAATGTATCAGAGCAGTGGTAAATAAGCACTTGGGTGAAAATTTTATAGTTTCGAGGCACAGTTTGATCTTCACTGACACAACTGAAATTTTTATTTGCAATTCAAACTTCTAATTTTATACATGCTCGGCATTGAAGATAAACACTGTAAGGAAACCTGTATGTCAGAGAAATTAAAAAATAACATTTTGCGTAAATCAAAAGTATGCTGTGAAAATCGTGCGTATTAGCGACAAATCTTCAAATAGAATTTAAAGATTTGTTAGTCGAAACTCGTCAATTAAATCGCGCCAACTCAGTTCTTGTTGATTTTATCTCGTAATTAGTGTTTTCTTGTTTATTATTGCTGAAAACATCAAAGTATCAAGAAATATAAATAATCTTTAATATTTGTATGTAGTTTTATGTGTTTACATTTATTTTGTTGCGAAATTAATGTTTTTTTTAATTTATTACGGAAATTGGAGGCTTATATTTAAATGAGTTTATTACTTTGCTTTTAGCACTGTTATATTATAATATAAACTTAGGTAAGAAAAACATTTTTATTATAGTTATAATTCCCATAAAATACAAGAAAATAGGAATTAAGTAATATATGAAACTTTTTTGGCCCAGGCATTATTAGATAGCCGCAATGGTGTTTACTGTTGAATGGATAAAATCAAAGAATACATTAATGAAAATAACTCCTGGGAATGAGGTGATTGCCACCATGTTGATTCTATTAAAATTCATGTAATATTGTACAAATGAAATTATTGTAAAGTGAAATGTTTAAAAAAAGCCCCACACGGTTTCTGCTGGTTCTTCCCGGGACAGAGGTATTTTCCGAAACAGTGGTAAATACAAAAATGACATTCAATAAGTATTATGTTATAATCCATATTAAATAAAAATTATTCTATTCTATTGTGAGTTTGCTGATTACTAGCGTCTTAAATGCATACTAATTGAGTTAGTATTGAGTTTTTTACTATTTCTCTAAATTTGAAATTATATTAATTGTTACATTTAAAATAATACTATTTTACAATTAACTGAACTAGTATTTGTTTTAAAACACTACCTCCATGAAAGAATTCCATTTAGGTTGTATTTTGTCAACTCTGCCACTCATTCATTACTTCATGTCAAACCACCAAAGCATTCTTTTCTTAGTCCTAGCCACAACATCTATTTGCAAACCACACTTTTCTCTCAAAAGTTATTGATTATATTTTTAAAAAATATTAATACTTACAAGATGTTGGTGCTGCAGTGGAAAATGGTCCATCTAAACCTGTATTAGATGGTGTTGTTGTATTTAGCTGAAGTCTAGCTTCCCTGATGATAACTTTGCCTCTTAACAGTTGTGATGCTGTAGACTTATCCTTTTCTGGACTAGATGCAGCTGGTCGTTCCTCCTCATCACCACTTCCTGTAGGACTGTCACTTTCCCAGCTCTCTTCAGACTCTGAACCACTACTTGTACTAGGTGATGTACTTGCATCAGATATATCCATAAGTTTACGCATCGCATGCCCTGTCCTTTCTTCTTTGGATTCAGTAGATTTCAATTTATCTAAATTTTCAACATTTGAATTCTCATCTTGTTGAAACTCTGAATCTTTTTCTAAAGAAAAGAGGTCACGTAAAGGTTTTTTACTTCCAGTATTAATAGTGGAAAATGAATTTGTTGTTTTATCTTTGAATAAATTGGAAGAGGGCAGCAGACTGTTTTCTCTACATTTTTCATTATCATTTTTGTCAGGCTCCTCTTCATCGGGAGAATCATCATCATCATGGAGATTGTTAAAAACTAGCCTCTTTAGTTTTGGCTTTTTGAGAACTTTTCCAGAACTCAAACTACTAGATATTGTTGTTTGTTCTTCACCATCAATAAACCTCTTGTTAGGTTTAATTACCCGTGAGGAGTGTGCACTTCGAACTGGCAGGACAAATTTTGCAGAATTTCCACTTTCTTTCTCAACTGGTGAAATGTTTCTGGGTGGTGGCGAAATACAACGGCTATCACAAAACTGTGAGAACTTGTTGATAGGCTTCGATAAAGGATTGAGATTCTTTCTCAAATATCCATCTTGCAACTCTATACTGGATTTTGAACTAAGATCTGTTAACTTGGCTGGTTTGAGAATACTGTTGAAGGAGGAATACTCAGTTTGTTTTAATGATGATTTCTTTTTAATTATAGACACAAGAGGGGCATGATTTTTAATTGGAACTTTTTTAAGAGGTAAGAATATATCTTCGCAGCTCTCCACAGTACCAAAAGTTACTGTCTTTTTTACAGGTTTAGGCTTATCACCTTTAATTGGCTCCATTTTATTTTGTGATCTAGTGCGCACTGGTGATTTTGATATATCACTTTCTTGATTCTCTTCTTTGTTTTTCTGTATTTCTTTAATCACTTTATTTTCACTGGTAGAGTTTGCATCATTTTCATTACTATTTTCTTTCTTCTCTTCTTCCTGAAATATTAATTACACAATTAATTACTTAGTTATATGAAAATAAATATTAGTTTGTAATACCAAAGTAAAGTTACAGCCTATATATGTCCCACTGCTGGGCACAGGCCTCCTTTCATTTTCTGAGAGGGTAGTTAAGGCAAGGAATAGTCCGCCACGCTGCCCTAATGTGTGTTGGCGAACTTCTCGAAGACATCTTTGAAATATATTTTTTTCTTATTTCTCAGACATGCAGGTTTCCTCACGATGTTTTCCTTCACCGACGAGCACGTGGTAAATCAGCACTTGAAATTGCATTTAACAATTTCATTGGTGCCGGCAGGGATCGAACCCGTGAGCCGTAGTAGCTCAGATGGTTAGCGCTTGCTGTAAATTTCACAATATCAAAGTATTTTAAATTTTTTTTAAAGACCTTTCAGGTGGAAAACAAATGTACTTGTGCTGAGCAATGGTAGGGGTACTGCGGGGCAGAGGGCGGGCTGACCTTGTGCTAGCGCACTGATTCGAGTGTGATTTATAGAACTTATTTAACTTTTATAATAAGCCACTTTCAAAAAATATAATATCTATAACTGTAAATTATTGTTATAGTTATATGAGTTACTAAGTAAAATTGAATTCAAATGACGGCCATGCTTATGCTTCCCTTATTATTTTTTTTTGATAAAATTGTTGATCCGAATGCAAAAACACTACATAATTAAATTTAACAATTGAAAATGGGAAACAACTATGTAAAGAAAGTGTCACGAAAATATTTGACGGTGCAACATTTGTAAATGTTTTTTTTTAGTACTAAACAATAATTTTGTTTAATAAATGTTTTTAACTTATAGAACAGCTATTTCAAACAAAATATGTCTCCGCGCATGCACAGTTAGTTTTTTGTCATAGAATAAACAACCTAGGTAGAATGTTCAGTATGTAATAAAATATTGTATTGTTAATTAGGTAAATCATATGGACTACAATTATTAAAATTTGTCATTGATTTTGTATATTATATATACTAATTTAATATATTACATAATATTATATCACAATTACATTTTAATGAGATTTTTATCTGAATATTTTAAAAGGTAACTGTATCAAATACAAAAAACATACTAAATGTATGTTTAACAAAACTTAAAACATTTAAATTACAAATATATTTATTTAGAATAAAAGTTGTTCATAAATTCTGGAGAGAGTTAAAAATGGATGAATTTATTCCAATTTGACTTGGACATGGGTACCTAATATAATAAAAGGATAATGAGCAAATTTAAATACAAGAAATTTAGCCTAATTATGGTTACAAATATTTCTTCTTCTTTCTTTTGTGGCGGTTTGATAAAATTCGCCAATGACGTATTGAGTGGAAAATGAAAGCTTATGAGTTTAATTAAAATAAGAGTCTGTGATAATACAAGGATTCAGTTTTCCTCCGAGAATTTTGACAAATCTATTTGTTGAATTACCTAGAACAAATATGACAAACACAGGTGTTAGACTCTTACCAGTATGTTAAAAGTGACAAGGATTTAAAGTTTCATATTATTAGTATTAATAAAATCACATAAAATATACACAAAAGGAGTACTGGTATATGTTAAGAGAATTAAAATCTATAGGTCGAGGTATATAAGGAGGAAGGTAATCATAAAGGGAGGAGGATAATTTGGGACAGTTGAAAAAAATATGGTTTGTGGAACCTTCATCTAAGCCACATTCACACAATGAGCTATTCCTTAATCAGATTTTTGCCAGATGTGCATGTGTACAAGCGTGTCCAATTCTTAATCTACAAATGATTGAAGTTGCATGTTTATTTGCTTTGTTAAATTTAAAGAACCAAGGCTTGGGAGGAATAACCTCTTGGATGGCAGCATAGTGCTTACCTTTAACATTTTTGGAAACTTCCCATAATTTATTCCAATTTTCATTCAGTTTCCTTTTAGCTAGCAAAATTAGGTCATGTGAGTAAATTAAATTTTGAAGAATGCCATTAGCAATTGCATTTTTAGCGAGTAGATCAGCTGTTTTGTTACCATGGATACCACTGTGGCCTGGAATCCAGGCCACTGAAACATGGATTCCTTTAAGATGGCATCTGAATAGGGTATTTTTTTTAAGAATTAGTGGAAATTTATGTTTGTTATGGAATTGATTGGACAAAATAGCTAACAAACAACTTTTTGAATCTGTGAAAATAACTGTTTTATTAAGATTATGTGACTCTGCATATAACAAAGCTTCACTGATTGCAGTTGCTTCACCGGTAAAAGTGGAGGATAGTGAGGGGCATTTAAAGTTAAAAATGATTTTGAACTTAGGAATCCAAACAGCAGCTCCAGTATAGTCTTCATCAGACTATTTTGAAGCGTCTGTGAACATGACAAGCCAATCTTTAAAGGTGTTTTCTATAATTTCTTTTAATTTCAAATTTGCCATTGGAGAACCCTTTTCTATACCTAGATCTAAATGAATGTCCAGGTTGGTAAACAATAGTCTCGTAAAGGACATCAAAGAGTGGATTTATTTTACATTGAAAGATTGGGTAAGGAAGCTGAAGAAAAATTACAAAACTTTTAAACAAGCAGGGAGAGTCCTTATGGGTCCAGTATCGGTCAGATGAGATATACTCTGAAAGAGATGCAATTTAGGAATTAGGGGATGATCTGAAAGCTGGCAGATCTTAAATAAGAATCTGTCTGAAAGGTATTGCCTTCTTAATCTTAAAGGAGGATCTACGCACTCAACCTGAAGAACATTTATTGGTGAGGATTTCATTGCCCCTGTAATAATGCGAAGGCATTTCGATTGAATTTTGTCCATTACTTTCAGGGATGATTTATTGCAAGGCTCCAACAGAAAACATTCATAGTCAAGGTGGCTTCGTATTAAAGCATTGTACAGTAATTTCTGAGAGGGACCACCAGACAAAGACCGAAGAATATATTTATGTTTTTTCGTATTTTTGTGTTATATATTCAATGTATTGACCGAAGGCCAATTTCGAATCAAGGATAACTCCCAAAAATTTAACATTGCCTCTAACTGGAATAGGTTGCTTATCATATACAACAGATATATCGGGAACTCGCCTTTGGCGGAAAAAGATCACCACACTACTTTTGGCCACAGATAAAGAGAAGCCATGATTAGTTAACCATTCTTGTAAATACTCCATAGATGAGTTTAGACGGGAATATGCCACTGTGAAGCTCTATACATCTCCTTAAACAAGGAGATGTATAGAGCTAAATAGTCTGCATATTGAAGAACATTACAAAAAGAATTTACTGAAAGTTCTAAATCGTGAGTATATATAGAATAAAGGAGAGGACTAAGAACTGAGCCTTGTGGAAGTCCTTTCCATATAGTTTTTGGAGGAAGCATGAAATTTTTAACATTTATAGATATTGATCTAGAAGAGAGAAAGTTAGAGACGTAATTGACTATCCTCACTGGAATGCTCAGATTAAGCATTTTCTGCCTGAGCACAGGAAGAAGCACATTATCATATGCAGAAGAAATATCTAAGAAAACTATGAGAAATTCATGTTTAGAAAAAGCAATATGAATATCTGTGACCAAAGTACTAAGGCTATCCATGGTACTTAAACCTTTTCGGAAACTGAATTGGCTTTTAGGTAAGAGATTATTTCTTTCCAAAAACCATTCCAAGCGATTTTTTATTAAATGTTCCAAGATTTTTGCCAAAGTACAAGAAAGGGCAATAGGTCGGTAACTGGAAGGGTCATTGCTAGACTTACCTGGTTTGAGTATGGGCAAAATAATTTGGGTTTTCCATTCAGCAGGAGGATCACCAGTAATATAAATAAAAATTAAAATGGATAGTAAGACAGTTTTAGTGTTCTCGCTACTATTAATTATAAACGAATAAGGAATCTCATCAATACTTGGTGAGGAGTCTTTAAGGTCATTGAGTACAGTAAACAATTCCTGAGAAGAAAAGGGGGAATGAAATTTATCATTTGTTTTTAAAAAAAAAGAATTAAAAACTAGGCATTCATCATAAGATGGGACTGTTTGTGGTGCAAGTTTTTTAGAGAATTCTTCTATCCACGGGGAAGGATCATTAGAAATTATATTTTCACTAGAAACTGCACAGCAATATTTTTTAACATTTCTCCAAACCAAAGATGGGGAAGTCCTAGGTGACAGTGACTCACAGAATTTAAACCAACCAGTTCGCTTTTTGTCTGACAGTAATTTTAAGGTTTCTGCAGCAATTTTTTATAGGAGATATAATTCACTGCAGTCATAGAACTGGAGTATATTAAATCAGCCTCTTTTTTTCTCCTACAAGCTGCTGAACAATCTTGGTCCCACCAAGGAGGGGAAGGATAATTATTTTTGAAAGGTTTTTTAAGGGGATTGACTTATTAGCAGCAGAAATAATTGCATTTCTGAACTCTATATATACAGGAGCAATATTATCATTGTTAACTGGGGGAAGAGTTAAAACCTCTTGTTCCAAATATGTAGAATATAATTGCCAATTAGCTTTGGATAGATTATACTTTAGTCTTGGGCCAAATGTAAAATTTATTCTAGGTGAAGTAGGAGGAGTGATGAATATAGGAAAATGGTCACTGCCATAGCTAGAAGGTAATATTTGCCACAAAAGAAGGGAAGCAATATCTGGGGAATAGAGAGTTAGGCAAACGGCACTTCTAACATTTACTTACGCAACTTTAATACTGCTCGTATTAAACAAGCGATCGAGCGGAACCAGGGCTCCAAAGTCTTTGCCAGAGATCTGTCTCTCAGAAAGAGCCAACTGTCAAAGCTGAAGACTGAGTGTGACAACATCGTTTCCGGGACACCTGAGATTCTGAGTGAGATTGCGAGGTTCTATGGGCAGCTGTACACATAATCGTTGGAGCCACACGCAAGTGTGAGTAATGATCCAAGAGCAAGTCTTATCTGACACTAACTGATGATATCCCGGACGTCACTCTGAGCGAGATTAGAATGGCTCTCCACCACCTTAAAAACGGCAAGGCCCCCGGCGAGGATGGAATTACAGCGGAGCTTCTGAAAGCGGGTGGAACACCGGTATTTGAAGTCCTTTAGAAGCTCTTCAATTCCGTCCTCCATGGTGGCACTACTCCAGAGGCTTGGAGCAGAAGCGCGGTGATCTTGTTCTCAGAAAGGCGACAACGCTCTCTTGAAGAACTGCAGACTGATTTCCCTTCTGAGCTGCGTCTACATGCTATTTTCGAGAGACATTACGAATCGTCTCGCACGCAGACTCGACGACTTCCAGCCTCCCGAACAAGCCGGTTTCCGAAAAGGATTTAGTATCATAGACCACATAAATACCTTGCGGCAGAATGATTTCTTATATTTACGCGAACACTACAGATTGAAATAATACTAGTTTTTACGGAATTTATCGCGTATATTTAACTTTTTAATACCCGACGTTTCGAACGCTTTACAGCACTCATGGTCACGGGCGGGACTGAGATGTTCAACATCCTTATGTCATAGTTAACCGCGGTTACCATAGATTAAAATTTAACTTTTGTTCCGATCTATGCAGTATTAACTTATGGTATCTTGAAGTCTTGCAGTTGTATGCTTGGGTTGGGATTTAATTTTATTTATTATAGGATCCCAAGCAGATGGTAGCACCCAGCCATCTTCTCTATTGAAATTAGGATGTTTTTTGATTTCAATAGCCTCGCGAATCATCCTTGGAAGGAATCGGTGTTCTTTAGTGAGGATTTGCGGTCTATCAAATCTGATGTAGTGATGGGGGCGATCCTGTACGTGTTCACAGACTGCATTTTTGTTTGTTTGTTAGACAATAAATTAGGCTCAGTCATCATACTCACACTAATCGAACTATAATAAAAGCAAAAGTTTGAATGTTCATTTCAGTTTGAAGTTTCAAAGTATCAGCAGACCAGTTTGAATGTAATAATTTGGCACACAAATAGTTTATTACCTGAATTAACATATAGGATACTTTTTATCCTGATTTAGAGGTCCCGAGAAATGGCATAAGAAAATTCGTAATAATCGAATTCCACAAGAGAAACATATGAAAATAACACACTCACCTCACTAAAGTCGCAATGACAATTGATATACACTCACCGGCACGGAAACTTGGCCAAGCGGTTATCTCGCGATAGCAAAAGCTTTAAGTGTTTCTGATGAATGTTTGTTATGCAAGTATGTCAAAAAATGTTTACCCTCAAGTTCAAGAGGGTAATTCATTATGTTTAAGTGCACCATGACGAATTCTTTAATTTTTAGTTGAATCGGGTCATTTGAGCGACTAAGTTCACATTTTAAATTTGTGTGTTGTGAAAAGTTTACTGTAAGGTTATTCAATTATTGTGATCTTGTGTCTTAATTAAATAACTAAAGGTGCTTTAAAGCCAATAAAAATGCCATTAACACCAGCACAAGTTGCACAAGCAGTAGCATTAATTGACCAAGGGCTGACACAGCGTAAAGTTGCTATTGTGCTTAACGTACCACGGTCCTCAATGCAGTATTCACTGAAACGATACCAGGAGACAGGCCGCTACACCCGCAGGCCAGGCAGTGGGGGCGTAAGGTGCACATCGGCCCGGGACGATCGTTTTATTGTTATGGAGATTTTGAGAAACCGCTACCTGACCGCTGTTGAGATACGCCAGCGGCTCCAAATCGCAAGAGGCGTTAATGTTAGTGAGCGTACGGTGAGAAGACGAATGGAGGAAGTGAATTTAAAAGCTCGTAGACCAGCACGAGGTCCAGAACTTCTCAGACAGCACCGAGTAGCCCGACTTCAGTTCGCAAGAGAACATGTCAATTGGACCCACGAGCAATGGGCTAGAGTGTTGTTCATAGATGAGTGTCGAATAGCTTTACGTGCTCCAGACGGTCGAGAACGAGTGTGGAGAAAAAGAGGAGAGAGGTTTCTACCCATTACCACCACCCAAACTGTGAGTTTCCATGGAGGCTCAATAATGGTATGGGGAGGTGTAAGTTCCGACGCACGTACAGAGTTGGTCATCGTCGATAATCGGCTTACAGCTACTCGATACATCGAGGAAGTTCTTCAGGAGCATGTAATGCCTTATTCGGGATTCATTGGACACGACCAATTCCTCCTCATGCACGATAATGCACGCCCGCACGTCGCACATTGTGTAGAGGAATATCTGGAAGAGGTTGGAATACAAAAATTACAGTGACCAGCTCGTAGCCCGGACTTAAATCCAATTGAGCATGTATGGGGTATGCTCAAAAGAAAGATAAAGTCCAGCTCCAAACCGCCACAAACTCTAAATGAGCTCCGAAATGCAGCGCTGGCCGCTTGGGACAGCATACCGCAAGTTGATGTCAGAAACATCATTCAAAGCATGCCAGATCGAATGCAAGCGGTTATCAGGGCTAGAGGAGGAAACACCCGATATTAAAACTGATAGACAATAAAGAAACAGACTTAATTTTTAACTTTGTAGTGTTTTTAAAGTGACAATGGAAATATGTTAATTTTAGTGAAAACATGTTATCTTGAAAAGAAAAATTTCGGTGAAGTAAACATTAAATTTCTATGTTCTAAAACCATTAGAGACACTTATTGAATGCATCTACCCTTAATTTACTGTTAAAAAAACGTTTCAGTGCAAATAATCAGCAAATTCACGAGTGGCCAAGTTTCCGTGCCGGTGAGTGTAGTTGTCATTGACTGTGACAAAACATGGCGCCCGGCCTCAGCAAAAAAATTGTTGCCATATTCGGTAATGATAAAACTACTGTTGTCCTTTTTTACATATGAATATACTAATAAGCTAAAAAGAGACGCCGATATTTCGTTACATTCCTACAACTAACGATTTTTACGTCATGTCCTTTCTTTCTTCTCTAGTCAAAGTTTGAAGTAGATTTTGATATGTAAAAGTGATGCGGTTTTGTTTATTATCTATGTATGTGTACTATATGAGAAAATAATGAAACAAGTGGTTTTGATGTTGACATAAAGCTCAAGTTATTTTGATCGCTTAGGCGTCTCATGACTGTTGTCATTGACTATCTGCTGGGTTAGCTGTCATTAAAATCTTTCAAAAACTTCAGAATGTGACGCATAAGCATACTGTGAAGAAAAAATCTATAAAAACGAAGATCTCAAAATAAATGAAGACATAAAGCCAAAAATCCAAACCAAAATTCTTAATAAAAAAAAAACACTATCTTCATATATCCTCAATTAAAAATTAAAAATCAAAATAAAAATATTGCCATAAACTAAAAATGTTTTTCTTCATCAGACCACAAAAGCCCACAGATGGATATGGATTTGTTCATAATAATTTTAAAAATAACTAAAAATACTGATATGAAGTTAAATTAATATAAGCCTGTTCTGTCCGTACTTTTAAGTTATATTTTCAAACTCTTTAAAAAAAATTAAATTAAATGAAATCAACTTTTGATCAAACTCTCCAGTCAAAAAGAGTCTAGTAGTAGAGTAATTTTGACTGAGAATTTTGAAGAGCTTTGAGTGTAACATATATTTTGAATATTTATCTAGGGAATGCAACAGAAACATTGGGGGATAAGTGTTAACAGTCATCAAAAATTGTAAGATAATAAATTTGTAGATGTGAACGTTTTCCTTATCCAATGTAAAAATTAAGGATAGAACTCGCAAGAGTAAACAATGGACCAATAAACATTTCCAACTTAGCACACTGTATTTGCTTTTAATTGCATTCCCCATTTATATATGAATTTGTTAACAAGCACCTCTTGATTGTAACTTAGCATCTTTGTCACAACCAACAGTTGAAATGAACGAACTTGCTGTTGTACAGTGAATCACAAAAAACTAAGAGACATGTAACCAACAGGACCATTAAATGTCAGTGCGGTATGGGGAATGTGAACAGAGTGAGATGAGAACACACAGACACAGACAGACATTTGTGCAACTACACATCTGTAAAACTAACATCCGGGTTGGCACCAAATACCTTCAAATTCTCACCAAGAATTCAGACATGTCTAATAACTACTTAAAAACAAAATTGATTGTCTATTTCTTATAAAATGAAATGAACACAGCACCACAGCAGTGCATGCACTGTGCTGCTTGACGGCAGAAATTATAATGAAATATTTTAATATAATGAATTTAATATTAAAGCTATTTTCAATAATTTTTTATCATAATATATGTTGTTTTGTTTTTATATTCAAATTTGAATTACGAAAGTTAGGTTATAAAATATGACTAAGCTATGTCCTATTCAGACAAGTTATACCAAAATATTTGACTGTAAACATTAACAATAATCATATTTTACATTCATGCAAACTGCTGTAAACTTAATTAAAGATAATATAAATCACTACGTTCGAACTTATCAATGCCTTTGTTGACATCCATAACATATTGAGAACAGAATGTCAAAATTCTACATTTCTAAACGTTAATTTTCATTTGGCGCCTCGTATTCATTATTAGGTATTACGTAAACATAACATTTCCGCGTTTACTGCGTTAATTTTATGTAACTTACTTGCAAAATATTAATAATTTGAGATAAATTTTTACCTCTTTCTCCCCAGATAAATCATTGCTGCCCGAGCCTCGAGAGGCTGGATGGTTTTCTTGAGCAGTTTCATGGTAAACAGCGCCCGAGAGTACACTTACACGCTTTCTGTTCTGGAATTTAAGTGGTTTCCCGGGGAACCTGGATCTTCCCATTTTGATAAGCACGTAAACGAAGGGCACTCAGTGCGTTCCCAGCGAACGCGAAGATACTGGCGCGCATGCTCCGGCCCGCGCGCTCCGCAACGCCATTCCACTCATTTATGCAATGTGTACAACAAATTACGACGCAGTTCTCATCACATGCACACCCAAACATAAACAGCACTAATACCCTTCACATTATTTACTAAAAACATTCACTTTACACACTTTTTGCAAAGAATAACATCATCCATCATTTTAATGGTCGACTGATCGTTAACGCCGTAAGTTGTAACGCTTCCATTCAGCGGAGCGTCAGCGATAAAACAAAAGAGAATGTATTATTTTAATGTGCTTGATTCGACCGCACGACGCGTCGGCAGTATCTGCGTTTTGTTCCATTTGTTAACACAAACAAAATTACTGAAATGAATCGCCCATAATTTGACAAAGATGGCTGTACGACGCACTATAACAATAGCGAACACGAGTGATTAACGAGACGAGGCGCGCGAGGCCGCGGTGTGAACGACACCTGGCTCTCGGAGGCCAGTTATGGATTTTGAACCAATCGCGACGTTAATTCGGACCGGTATGAAAACAAACATGTCCGATGTCGCTCGCTACGTCTTGCTTCTATACGGCATCCATCTGCATAGACGCCTCACTCACTCATTTCACATCACATTATCAATAAAAATGCCCAAGTAATAAGATCAATCTGCGTGATCGGTAGCGCCTTTGTCAAAGACTACTGTTCTATACCGAAAACCTTTGTTTTGATTCTCCTGTGATTTGCACATCATCCGCTTTATGGTTAGCAGTTTTTAGTTTTAATAAATTACTCTAATTATATTTGCAAGTTATGGTTTTTTATTGCCCTTGGCTTTTCTACTTGAAAATAACTGTTTAATAATGCTGTAACATAATATAGATTAATTTTCTACATTAACGATAGGAACCATTATTATGTAGAGTTAATACATTTAATAATACGAGCAGGTAATATTTTGATTTTGATAATAGGTTAAATAATGCCTTATTTAGGTATAATTATACTATTTGCTAAAGTTTTCAACTACATTCTTAAGTGTAATTGTTAGGTACCTACGTATTGTAGAATATTTTATTACAATACTTTATTACAATAATATAATTTACAAGTATCAATAAAACATCAAATTAAAAAGGAATACTGGTAGGTACATAATATTATTTTATTTGAATATATTTATATTATGTAGACGGAGTGAATCATACATAAATATAAAATACCACACTCACAATAACGCTTAGACAATTTATTTTATTTTATACACAAACTTATAAACATACACTTTAATGTCTGTGTATAAATATATGTATTATGTATAGTGCTCGCACCCTATTTGTAGTGAACCCCTAAATTCTGTCGGTCGATCATGCGTAAAGGGCGGAGAAGGGATGCTAAAGGGAAGAGCATCGGTGCTTGAACCCTAACTACATATAGATTTGTACAACAAGAAACATTTAAAATGCAACTCGTTATAATAACTTAATTCAGTTACGTAAACTACTAAGTTTATTAATACTGACCTCTAGCGTGAGATATGTGAACGACAAGTTCTTTGCTGAAACGTTTCCTGAAATACATTGAGAATTGACGGCACGTCCTCGACCACAGTTGAATCGGATCGAAACTAAATGATCACTTTTTTAAATGTTTTTCACTTAAACTCCACAACTTTTTAGCCACTTTCATATCCACTTCACTAACACGGATCGTACGAGTTTTGAAAATAACAATTTGTTTGTAAATATTATGGTATGAGTAATATTTACATTACTTTCGTTGCAGTGGTGTTGGTGCGTGAAACTGTAGTAGAACGACTGGCGGACAAGCGCCGCGCATGCCGCGAGGGACACGTTGTAACTATAAAAATGGAATAACTCCCCTTCTCGGGGGCTCACCCAAATGAATCACAGTAACACACTAAACACTCTTTTAGTTTATGAAGATTTTTATTCAAAGTTGTTGCGTTATACCAAGGGGACGCGACAAGTAACGCGCAAACACCCGCACTTCGGTTCAAATTTAAGCGGTATCGAGTTATGATGCGAACTTCCGTGTACCTCTTAACAAAATATTGATCGACGCGACTCCCACCGTCTGAGGACATTTTTCAATGAGGCAGGCTTTCGGAAGCAGGATAATCGCTGTAGATCAGCCGCTTACTGTCCTTATTGTACCCAAATGTGAGAACCCTTACCGCGCAGGTAGATGTTTTTTGTGTTATTTGGGTCGCAAGCTAGAGTAGGTAAAATTATTCATATATTACTTAGTAGAGCCTGAAGGTCGATAAATAATTCCAATAAGTTTTTAATGCAAATTAAAAACATGTGAACAAAACCTTTAAAGTTAATTAACAGTGTAATATTCACATCTCAATTATTGATAGCAGAATAGTAAACAGTTTTAAAATTATATTTTTTCGCTAGTATAATATTCTAGATTAGAATTTACGTTTAAATTATATTCTTTCTTCAGGGTTGCACAATAGTCTCAAAAACCAGATCTGAGTTCTTGACTCCGGCTCAAAATCGAACCCAGAACCCACCGCCGCCATAGTGGACACTTCATGTCGTCACTACCTTTAAATCAACTTCTTAGCACAGAATACTTAATAGCAATACTATATAAAAATGAGAGAAATTTCTTGAAATAGTGTGATTGTTGTTTTAAGGATCAATAATGATATTTTCGTAAGTGGTAGCAGTAGCACTCCTTATTTGTTTAGCAGATCGGTTAAATGCCTATCTATTTCCGCCGCTAAGCAGTACATTATTTGTTGTGGTCCAGTATCCATTTCCGAGATCAACGACTCAGTAAAGAGAAGTGTCACTCAGTCCAAAGTGGCATGTTTCAGCACCAGCCCATACATTTGATGACAATACTTCATGCACGACCGAAATTGCGCTAAGTGTAGTATAAGGTATAAGAAGCTACCCGGCGTGAAAGACCACCGCATCTTTATACGGACCAATGAACTGCTCAAAGTTGAGGTTCGAAAAAATATCAATCGCAAAAACTGTAGGTGGTGTACAGTGTACTCCAAACATTTTTTGCGCTGAAAAGACATTGCTGTCGTTTTACCAATAGATGCCAATAGATGCCGGGCACAACCAGAATTACATATATGTAGCAGGAAGAAAGTTGCGGTTGAAACTGACACCTGTTGACACCTTATTCTATAAACAAGCCCATTGGTAAAAACAGTAGGTAAATTAAAAACCCAGATCGTGTAATTGTTTACTAAAAAGTGAAAAATGTAATTCATGTCACTTCCACAATTAAGACCATCTATCGTCATCCCTATTTAGGATAGGAGTTATTGTTTTCGTCAACCCACACACATGTTTCCCCTCGTTATAGATTCTGGCGCAGTCGAGTAAAAAAGGTTAAAATACCAAACTCTGTCAAAGGCTTTCGAGACATCTAGGGAAATAGCAAGTTCATCTTCACTGTTCTCAAGGTACTCGCCCTATATGTGAGAGGCGTAAGTTTAAAGTTCCTCAGTAGATCGATTTTGGCGAAACCCGTACAGGTCATTCTCTGCTAGATATGCAATGTTGTGGACGTTGAACTGGGAATCGGACCAAGACTGCTTGCTTATTGATTTTGCATCAGCTATTCCGACACCCGCACAACATGACAGGGTGACCGATTATTTTCAAAACATATTATATTCTAATTATAAAGATTTAAGACATTCAACAAGTTATATTATAAGGCTTAAAATCTGAAAAATACAAATAATCGATATTATTTGTGTCGACAGGTGTTTACGGTTAGTTTCAAGTATTAGGGCGTTACCACATCAATCGATAGATGGTCAATCGATGCCCTTTATCGACGTCGATTGATGTCGATCGACTGGTGTGGTAGCTTTAGCTGATCGACGGATACTGGTCGATAAAACGTGGTTCAATCATCGATCGACGTCGATTGACAATTAATCGATGTTTGTGGGCTCATCATTTTAAAATGTATAGGATGTGTTATTGTTGACGGGTATGCTCTTGCTCGTATTATTATTACAGATCGCAAATACGGAAGACTGGATGTGACCGTTTTTTAAAGCCAGTGATAGCTTATTTCATCTAGACGATATTTTAAATAGCGGTCGGTGGAGTGGGGAGGGTTTTCTAACAATCCAGCAGCTCGATCGACGTCGACTAATCCATTCTACCGTCGATCGATCGGTGTGGTAGAAACTGTTGATGGACTAATCTATTCCACTAACGATCGAAGCCATCAATCGATGATCGATCGGTTGGTCTGGTAACAACTTTAAACTTGAAACTAACACCACAATAAGTATCTTTGTCGAGACTGAACTCTTAATAAATTTTAAATTAAAAATAGAACAGTAAGACGTAAACGCAAGAAAAACGCTGAAGGTAACATTTTCCAGGTATGTATAATGTTCTCTGTGGTAACATTTACGTGGTCATTTTTTTACAAAATTAATGGTAGCCACCAAAAACATAAAATAAATTGTGAAATATAACGTGTAATAAAATGTAAAAGCTGACTTAGAAAAACTAAAGGGAATTAAAACAATGTCCTCATAGGAGCTTCTGAAGTCAGGGCTAAATGTATCGAAGAATTAAAACCTCGACTTCAAAAATTATTAGGTGGAAATTACGTACTACTCTTTTTGAGTTGATTATGGAATATCGCAAGTTCAAGGTCACAACTAAAAGGTCGTTTAAATCTGTTACCTATAGAAAATTCATCAGTTTTTTCATCCTAAGGGATGGATTTTTTATTTATTTATTTATGTACTCACAAGATACAGAAACAGTCTTACAGTCTAACAGTCTTCAATCGACAGTCAGTAAGTTCGTATAAAGGCTCTACTTATTCCATAATTTGCTAAAATATCATCCAGTAGACCTAGAAAGGAAATATATTGTAATGGCAAACTTAGTGCATACATTACGTACATTACTACTAATGATTAAATAAC